AATAAGGACATCAATTTTGGAGGCCAGGATGGGAAAGCTATGAATTGTTTCTGTTCTAAGATTCATGGGGTGAAGCCCCCGTCTCCCATATGATTGTATTTGGAGGCACAGTTTTAATAAGGCAATTAGGTGTAAATGACATCAGAAGAGTAAGGCCCTAATCCAATTCAATTGGCAGGTTTACAGAAAGGAACATAGAAAGAACTCTCTCTTTCCACCATGTATCTACAAACCAGGAAGACAACACTTATCAGAAACTGACGCTGGCAGATTTTGATCTGAGATCTAGGCTGTAAAACTGAGAATGTATTTTTTGTTGTTTAAACCATCTGGTCAGCAGTATTTTGTTAAGGTAGCCCAAGAAGATCAGAAAACATTTTCCTTTAAGCTGCAAACTGGCTTCTTTCTGTGTGTTGGTTCTGGGGCTTGAACTCAAGGTCTGGGCGCTATCCCTGAGCTTTTTTTTTTTTTTTTTTGCTCAAGGCTAGCACTCTACCATTTGAGCCACAGCTCCACTTCTGACCATTTAGTAATTTATTGGAGATAAAGAGTTTCACAAGCCTGGGGCTGGTGGTTCACACCTGAAATCTTAGCTAGCTACTCAGAAGGCTGAGATCTGAGGATCACAGTTCAAAGCCAGCCTGGACAGGAAAGTCTGTGAGACTATCTCCAATAAACCACAGAAAACTGGAAGTTGCGCTGTGGCTCAAGTGGTAGAGTGCTAGCCTTGAGCTAAGGGACAGCACTTAGGCCCAGAGTTCAGTTTCACGCCCTACCAAAAAAAAAAAAGTCTTACAAACTTTCCTGCCCAAGAGAGCTCCGAACTGCTATCCTCAGATCTTTCAAGGTTATAGAGGAGGAAGTTTAAAAATAAAAACAAGCTCCTTGCCTAGGTACAGTTAATGACCTGATAAAGTTGGGGTTTCAGACCTGTGCTCTTTAAAGTATTACAAAATCCACTGGCAAAGAAAGAAAAGCAATCACTCATGATGACCCCTGCAGTTTACCCTGAACCAGGTATAGAGAAGAAATATAAATGTTTTCTTTATCTGTTAGGGTATTGCATGAATGGAATGCTCCCTTTCAATCTAAAACACTGAACATTGATTCCTAATAATGCTTAATATGATAAAGAATATCTTTCATAAAGCTGGATGCTAGAAGCTCACACTTTAATCCTAGCTATTCAGGAGGATGAGGACTGTAGTTCAAATCTAGCCTGAACATTGAGAGTCTTATCTCCTATCAACCACTAAAAAGTCAGTAGAGTTGTGCCTCATGAGGTAGAGTACCAACCTTGAGCGAAAAAGCTAAGGGATAGTACGTAGGTCCTGAGTTTAAGCACACGCGCGCACACACACACACACACACACACACAGAATATCTTTCCTATCTAGTAGATATACTGCTAATGGTCAAACACCAGACGTGTTATAAAATTATAAGTATAGATTGAATTTTCTATTCATACTATATTATTAAACACAGCTTAAGTCATTTCACCCCAAATTAAGAAATAATGGGTATATGTCGATAAAACAAAAGTTTTATGTGCAGATGACTTACCTATAAAACTTAGAAGAGAATTGCAAATGATGAATATAAAAATAATGAATGTAAAATTATTAGCAGTAATTTTACTAGCTCTAAAGTTTCATAAAATATATCAGAAAAAAATCTCATTTATGGGCTTGGAAGGTAGTTCAGTGGTAGAGCGCTTGCCTTGCATGCATGAGGCCCTGGGTTCAATTCCTCAGCACCACATAAGCAGAAAAAAAGCCAGAAGTAGCTCTGTGGCTCAAGTGGTAGAGCGCTAGCCTTGAGCTGAAGAGCTGAGGGGCAGCACCCAGGCCCAGAGTTCAGGCCCACGATCGAACCAAAAAAAAAAAACAAAAACAAAAAAATCTTATTTGGGCTGGGAAGGTGGCTCAGTGGTAGACCGCTTGTCTTGCAAGCCGGAGGCCCTGGGTTCGATTCCTCAGCACCACATAAGCAAAAAGAAAAAAGCCAGAAGTGGCGTTGTGGCTCAAGTGGTAGAGCGCTAGCCTTGAGCTGAAGAGCTGAGGGACAGCGCCCAGGCCCAGAGTTCAGGCCCCATGACCAGACCCAAAAAAAAAAAAACAACTCATTTACAACAATAACACAAAGTCAACCAGAAATAACCATAGCAATTGTTGCATACCTAGGGCTGGGATTATAGCTCAGTGTAGACTACTTGCCTACCATGTATAAGGTCCTTTCTATCCTCAGCACTAAGAAAAAAAGAAGCTCCCAAGTCAAGTAAACAAACAAACTACATTAAATCCTATTCCTTGACTACATCTTGCTTAGGCTGGCTTCAAACTCAGATCCTCCAGTCTTCGCCTGTGTGCCACCATACCCAGTTAATTATCAAAAGATGTACCATTTTTAGAACAATTAAAGACTTGGGGATTATTTAATGACCTGGGAAAATACCAAGATGTTCTTGCTAAAAAAAGAACAACAAAAACAGGTTACATAATTTCTAATGCCATCTGATGCTAATTTCATTTAATATGGGGCAGGCAATTCTTTTCCTCACAATTTTCAGAAATATCCCTGCCCCTAACATCTCAGTTTACATGATACCAAACTTCAAATTTTTCTCATCATTGTCCTCTGTAGCTCTTTTCTTCTTTTAATCACTCCCACTCTCTTATTACTCCAGTTCATCTCATGGACAGTTTAATTCATTCCAAATGCTATATAATTCACCCATAAAAATGCCTAATCACTTTGTAACTTGGTTAATTTTCTGAGACAGGGTGTCCTCTACATTAGTAAATAGCCCACACTGTATCTATAGTTAGTGATTTCCTCACATCAGCCTCCCAAACACTGGGATTACTGTCAAGCTTCCTGATTGTTTATAATCTAATTCTTCCCTTTTCAAACTACCTTAGTTAATCTCTATTCACTTAAGAGTTTTCTTTTTTGGGGGGAGGGGAGGGGAGTCCGGTCATGGGGCCTGAACTCTGGGCCTGAGCGCTGTCCCTCAGGTCTTCAGCTCAAGGCTAGCACTTTACCACCTGAGCCACAGTGCCACTTCCGGCTTTTTTCTTTTTGCTTATGTGGTGCTGAGGAATTGAACCCAGGGCCTCAGGCATGCAAGGCAAGCACTCTACCATTGAGCCACCTTCCCAGACCTCACTTAAGAGTTTTCTATTGTCCTAAATCTGTTCCTTGAGATCCTGCCATTATAACGTCTTAAATAAGACTTGTTTTATTCCCTCATCTCCAACCCAGAAGCTTCTAGATGAAAAGGGACACAATTTCTTCAGCAAAGTAATGACACACAGGAAGAATTATATGTAGAATATCAACCAATTATAGGTGTCGGCTTTGTGTAGATTCTGATTTGAATGTACCAATGGTAAAAGGGCATTTTTGATTTATCTAGGGAAATTTCCATATGGACTGGGTGTTAGAGAATGCCAAAGAATCACTGGTTTTATTAGATGTGATAATGGCATTGCGGCTATACAATAAATGTCTATGTTCTTAAGAAATGCATATCTGGGCTGGGAAGGTGGCTCAGTGGTAGAGCGCTTGCCTTGCATGCTTGAGGCCCTGGGTTCGATTCCTCAGCACCACATAAGCAAATAGAAAAAAGCTGGAAGTGGCGCTGTGGCTCAAGTGGTAGAGTGCTAGCCTTGAGCTGAAGAGCTGAGGGACAGCGCCCAGGCCCAGAGTTCAGGCCCCACGACCAGACCCAAAAAAAAGAAATGCATATCTAGAAAGGTGAAATAGCCTTGGAGTTTTCTTCAAAATACTCATGCACAGAAAAAAATGTTAAGTATGAATAGGTGAAGCAAGTATATCAAAGTCTTAATAATTATTGATAGATTATTGACCATTTATTATACTATTTTTTTTTTTTTTTGCCAGTCCTGGGGCTTAAACTCAGGGCCTGGGCTCTCTCCTTGAGCTTCTTTTGCCCAAGGCTATCACTCTACCACTTGAGCCACAGTGCCACTTCTGGCTTTGTGTATGTGGTACTAAGGAATTGAACCCAGGGCTTTATACATGTTAGACAAGCACTCTACCACCAAGCCATATTCCCAGCTCATGTCTGTGTAGTTTTGAAATTTGTAATAAAAATTTTGAAGCTGTAGATGTAATCTGGGTGTTAGTGATTCATGCTTGAAATCCTAGCTACTCAAGAGGCTGAAATATGGAGGATTGTGGTTTGAAGCCAGCTCAACACAACAAGCAAAAACCTGTGTTGGAAGCATGACAGAACACCAGATGAACAAGCAGAGAAATTGTGCTCAAACTCCAGTAATACAAAAGAAAATGTAGCTACAAAGAGAAATAGCAGGGGCTGGGAAGGTGGCTCAGTGGTAGAGCGCTTGCCTTGCATACATGAGGCCCTGGGTTCCATTCCCCAGCATCACATAAGCAAAAAGAAAAAAGCCGGAAGTGGCGCTGTGGCTCAAGTGGTAGAGTGCTAGCCTTGAGCTGAAGAGCTGAGGGACAGTGCCCAGGCCCAGAGTTCAGGCCCCATGACTGGACCCAAAAATAAAAAATAAATAAAAAAGAGAAATAGTAATCTTAAGCAAAACAATCTGAATAGAACTTAAAGAAAGTAATTTCCATTATGCTGTCATTTTTTTTAGACTTTTCAACATTCTATGCAACCATACTAGATTTTTTTTGTTTTTTTTTTTGGTCGCAGGGCTTGAACTTTGGCCTGGGTGCTGTCCCTGAGCTCTTCAGCTCAAGGCAAGCACTCTACCACTTGATCCACAGCACTATTTCCGATTTTCTGGTGGTTAATTGGAGATAAGAGTGTCATGGACTTTCGTACCTGGGCTGGCTTTGAACTGTGATTCTCAGATCTCAGTCTCCTGAGTAACCAGAATTATAAGTATGAGCCTCCGGCACCCGGCGATACTAGATTTTTTGTTTGTTTTTTTTTAATGTGTCACTACATATGTATTGCCCATGAATTTGTACATTGTTAACAGATAAATTACCTGTTGTCAATAATCATTACATGAGAAGATGGAATCCCCAAAACACCACAGCTCTGCAAAAGTTCTTTCTTTCGAATCTCTCCTTGATTGTAGTAATTTCCTGAGGACAACAAATATAGTCTTAGATTTCTTTAACCATGGAAACCTATCTTATTATTTATTCTTATCCTGCTTTGTTCCCTACAGGATTTAAGCTACCTGAGAAAATATGATTATGATGAAGAAAATATAACCCTCAAGGTTACTATAAAATATTCCTCCTCCCCCACAGTGTAACCCCCGCTTTCACTATATTTGATGTCAGTATAACATGTGGAGGAGACGGGGACAAACAAGTCGTTTAAGGATTCAGGTGGACCTGTTGCAACAATGAGAAGTACAAAATGTCATGTCAAAACCAGCTTTACAATGTCGGTGTGGGGGGGGAGGGGGGGTATGATTGGGTGGGGGGGAGGGGGGAGGCTGGGAAGGAAGGTGAAGGGTAAACAAAAGAGGAGGCTGCAATGTTTGGTAAGAAATGTATGCATTATCCTGCCCATGTAATTGTAACCCCTCTGTACAGTATGTTCTCAAATAAAATAAAATTAAATTAAAAAAAAATATTCCTATGAGAGAGGACTATCAGCATCACATTTTTAGTATCACCATTTACAATGCATTATCTATCTGCATAGAAGATCTTTTTTTTTTTGGGGGGGGGGTTCGGTTGTGGGGCCTGAACTGTGGGCCTGGGCACTGTCCCTCAGCTCTTCAGCTCAAGGCTAGCGCTCTACCACTTGAGCCACAGCACCACTTCCAGCTTTTTTCGTTTTGCTTATATGGTGCTGAGGAATCGAACCCAGGGCCTCAGGCATGCAAGGCAAGCGCTCTACCACTGAGCCACCTTCCCAGCCCTGCATAGAATATCTTGATGTTAAACAGATTAAGGAATGTCTTTTACAATCACTCAGGATAACTGGGGTCTGTTTACACTATTAGTTTGGGTACCTTAATTTTTTGTTTTGAGACAGAGGTTACTTATGCAGTCCAGGTTGGGCTTGAAATTGTGATCTACCTCTCTTAACCTCCAGAGTACTAGGATTATGGTGTGTGATGCCACATCTGGCGGGGTGGGGAGTGTAGTTGTGGAGGTGGGAGGGAAGGGATGGTAGAGGAAAAATAAAGGAGGCAACAATGCTTGATAGGAAATGTACTCATTACCTTGCTTATATAATTGTAACCCCTCTGTACAATATTTTTACAATAAAAAACATAAAAAAAAAGAAGTAGCATCATCAAGTAGCATCAACATCACCTGACTGCCTAGTAACAAAATTTGTTCAGAGAAATTAATTTTTTGAGCTTCAGGAATATCAGCACTTTTTAAAATCTCCAAATACTGGCCAGTAACTTTTTTTTTTCTTGCCAGTCCTGGGGCTTGAACTCAAGGTCTGGGCACTATCCCTGAGCTTCTTTTGCTCTAGGCTAGCATTCTATCACTTGAGCCACAGAGCCACTTCTGGCTTTTTCTGTTTATGTGGTACTGAGGAATCAACCACAGGGCTTCATGCATGCTAGGCAAGCACTCTACCACTGAGCCACTTTCCCAGCCCCTGACTAAGTAATTTTTAAATGTATTTGGAAGAAAAAAAGGTGTAGATTTCTTTCAGTATAAAATCAGAGTTTAGGGCTGGGAAGGTGGCTCAGTGGTCAAGCGCTTGTCTTGCATGCATGAGGCCCTAGGTTCAATTCCGCAGCACCACATAAGCAAAAAGAAAAAAGCCAGAAGTGGCGCTGTGGCTCAAGTGGTAGAGCGCTAGCCTTGAGCTGAAAAGTTGAGGGACAGTGCCCAGGCCCAGAGTTCAGGCCCCACGACTGGACCCAAAAAAAATTTAAATAAATAAATAAATAAAATCAGAGTTTAGGCTGGGAATATGGCTTAACTCAAGTGGTAGAATGCTAGCTTTGAGCACAGAGAGGATCAGAGGCAGTGCCCAGGCCCTGAGTTCAAGCCCCAGAATTGGCAAAAAACAAAAAGAGAGAGTTTAGGTTATGTGTTAAAGTCTATCCAAGATATTAGAACCTATATAAAATAGTTAGAAAAGCAAAAACACAACTAGTGGAGAATGCCAGGGACTAACAGCAAACAGTGAAGTGAACCACAGATTTGAGACAGCAAAATGTTACCACAAATCTTTAGCTGGAAAGAGAAAGGCCAGAAACAGTGTTAATGAAACCCAGAAGCCTGTATTTCCAAGCTGCAGTCAGAAGAACTGGACATACTTATTTTAGAATATATCTATAGAATTCAGATTAAGAAATTATGATTTAGGAAATTTAAAAAAAAATTGGAATTAGGCTAGTGCAGGTGGCTCATGTCTATAATCCTAGCTACTCAGGAGGCTGAGATCTGAAGATCATGGTTCATAGCCAGCTTGAGCAGGAAAGTCTGTGAGACTCTCATCTCCAATTAACCACTAAAAAGAACCAAGAGTGACATTGTGGTTCAAGTAGTAGAGCACTAGCCTTGAGCAAAAAAGCTCAGCACAGTGTTGTGGCCCTGAGTTCAAGCCCCAGGACTTGCAAAAAATAAAGCAAAATTTTAAAAAAAAAAGCATTATTTAAAAATAAAACTAGAATTAAGAACAGGAAAAGGACTTAACTAGATAATCTCAAAAAGATTGTAACAGATGCCCTATAAGAACGTAAAAATATGCTCATAAGTACTGGTCATTAAGAAAATGTAAATCAAAGCCACATCACAATATTACTCCATAGTCACTAGGATGACTATAGTTCTAAAAGAAGAAATTATCAGGCCTCAGGTTCCTCTTCTTCTTCCTCCCCCCTCTCCTTCCCTCCCTTCCTCCTCCTCCTCTTCCTCCTCTTCTTATTTTTTATCAGTTGTGGGCTTGAACTCTAGAGCACTGTCCCAGAGCTCTTCAGCTCAAGATGAGTGCTCTATCATTTGAGCCACAGCACCACTCCTGGTTTTCTAGTGGTTAATTGGAGATAAGAGTCTCACACTCACAGACTCTCCTACCCGGGCTGGCTTTGAACCATGATCCTTAGATCTCAGCTTCCTGAGTAGCTAGGATTACTGGTGTGAGCCACCAACCAGCTCCGTGAAACTCTTTATCTCCAATAAACTACTCACAAAGGCTGAAGTGCCATTGTGGCTCAAGTGGTAGAGCACTGGCTTTGAGCAAAAGAGGCTTAGGAACAGTGTCCAGGTCCAAAGTTCAAGCCCCAGGACAGGCAAAAAAAATTTTTTTTGAAAGCCAGGCACTGGTGGCTCACGCCTGTAATCTTAGCTACTCAGGATGCTGAGATCTGAGGATCACGGTTCAAACCAGCCCAGGCAGAAAAGTCCGTGAGACTCTTATCTCTAATAAACCAGTAGAAAACCAGAAGTAGCACTGTGACTCAAGCGGTAGGGCGCTCGCCTTGAGCTGAAGAGCTCAGGGATAGCGTCCAAGCCCAGAGTCCAAGCCCCATGACCAAAAAAAAAAAAAAAAAATTTTTTAATGCAAACTGGCCACTGGTAGCTCACATTCATCTGTAATCCTAGCTACTCAGGAGGCTGAGAGCTGAGGATTGTGGTTCAAAGCCAGCCTGGGTAGGAAAGTCCATTTAAGCAACAATTAAGCACCAATAAGTTGGAAGTGAACCTGTGTTCAAGTAGTAGAGTGCTAGATTTGAGCGCATGCTTGTGTGCGTGCACACACACACACACACACACACACAAATGCAGTAACAGTGCCTAGGGCTGGCACACAAAAACAAAAACCAAAACAAAATAAAAACCAGTCATGAAAAGTTCCGATATAGGCTACAGTATCAATGTACTTTAGAATAAGTCACTGTAATATTTTAGTTATATGAGGTACCTATAGTAGTCAAAGTCAGAGGTGTGAAGCAGAATGATAATTGTCAGGGGCAGGGAAGGTAGCTCAGTGGTAGAGCGCTTGCCTTGAATGCCTGACACCCTGGGTTCGATACCTCAGCACCACATAAGCAAAAAGAAAAAAGCTGGAAGTGGCGCTGTGGCTCAAGTGGTAGAGTGCTAGCCTTGAGCTGAAGAGCTGAGGGACAGCGCCCAGGCCCAGAGTTCAGGCCCCACGACCGGACCCAAAAAAAAAAAAAAAATGGATTACTACTACAGCATTTTCTTTTTTACACCTGCTTCTCTTTTACTGTTTCACAGGCAATCCTTGTCACTGTGGAATTTCTCCTTGGTCTTCATTGTTCAAACTGGCCTTGAACTCCTGGGCTCACATCCTCTTCCTGATTCAACCTCCCAATTACAGCCTTGCATCATTTATTTGTGCTTTGCTGACATCTTTTTTTTTTTTTTTTGGTGGGGGGCAGTATTGGGGTTTTTGAACTCAGGACCTCATGTTTGCTAGGTGTGTGCTCTACCATTGAGCCACAGCCCTTTTGTGCCCTGGTTATTTTTGCGACAGTGTCCCACTTTTTGCCCAGCCCACACCTGGACGGTGACTTGCCTATTTTATGCTTCCCATCCTATCTTGGATGACAGGTTAGTATGCCCATGCCTAGGTTCTTCTGTTAAAATGGAGTTTCCACTAGGTGGCGCACATTTCATCTGTAATCCTAGCTATTCAGGAGACGGAGGATCATGACTTAACTCCAGCCTGAACAGGAAAGTCTGTGAGATGCTTGTTTCCAATTAAACACTAAAAAGCTGGAAGTGGAGCTGTGACTCAAGTGGTAGAGTGCTGGCCTTGTGCTATAAAGAAAGCTCAGGGACTGCTGCAAGTCCCTGATTGGCACCAGGAAAAAAAAAAAAGATTTCTGTGAAAATTGTATAAAGTAAACCACACAAAATCAAAGGGGAAGAGCTCATGAGTAATTTTTAAAGTTTATTACAGTATGATTTGACATCATAAAATTCACCCATTATATGTATACAGTTCAGTTACTTTAGTTACAAAGTTGTGTAATTATCATCATTATCATGGTTAACATTTTGTCTGATTTTTCCCCCTATATCCTATTACAAGACTTATAATTTGAAAGGCTCCTTTCCTGAAAGTTGGATGGGATGAACTCTAAAATCATCTGCAGAATTACTTTCTAGTAGGCATCTGAGTCTCCAATGAGACACAAGCATTTTTCAAAGTAAAAGGAAGATTCTGCGCTGTTTTTTGTTTTGGGCCGGTCCTGGAGTTTAAACTCAGGGCCTAGCCACTGTTCCTGAGCGTCTTTTGCTCAAGGCTTGCACTCTACCATTAGAGCCACAGCGCCACTTCCGGCCTTTTCTGTTTATGTGGTACTGAGGAATCGAACCAGGGCTTCATGAGTGCTAGGCAAGCATTCTACCACTGGGCCGCATTCCCAGCCCCTCTGTGCTGTTCTAACAAGTGAAACCTCAAAGGTCAAGCAGGCCCAGTACAGCAGATAGTTTGGTGTACAGTACAACATAAGGAAGATGACTGCTCTTGACCCTTTGCAAATAAAGGTTCCATAGTATCAACAAATAAGCTCGTTGGGAGGGGGGAGAGGAGGAAGGGAGAAACACAGGTACTGAATGGAACCAAAGTCGCTTACTTTGCGACTCCTTAATCCTACTAAGGGGGGAGGGGAATGGGGTACTCATGCTGAGGACGGGCCCCCCAAAGTACCTGGGAAGCAGATCGCTCACTTTTGTTCCTTCCTACAACAGAAATCCCTTCGGGAAGAAGTAGACCGAGCTTGCTTAGTACCTCAAACCCTCTACAGCCCCAGCTTCCAGCGCCCCGTCTATGGCCTCCTACCTGCGGAGAAGCAGAGTAGGGACACCCTGTGCTTCTGGCGGGCCAAGCCTATCACTGTGGGAGCAAAGAACATAGCTTCATCGTCCGGGTGTGCGATCACAAGGAGGGCTCGGCTTTCGGCTGCTAAAAGGCCTGCCTGCTCCCGACTCTTCCTTCGTTCTGCGGAGTCCCAAACCCAGAGGAAACCCCATGTCAGGATAGCGATCGCCACACACAAAACCCACGCCACTTCCATGCCGCGAAGTAGCGCGGCGCCTGCGCAGTAGCAGGGCGCCTGCGCAGTAGCAGGGCGCCTGCGCAGTAAGGAAGGCTGCTCGGCCCCTGGTTCCGGCAGTAAAACTTTACCCGCTGAACTTACGTTCCGCCTTAAAGTGCGAGTGGTGAGACCGAAAGGCTTGTGGTCTGAAATGGAAGCCTTCCAACACCGTGTAAGCTCCGTCTTCCACAGCGTCCCGCAAGTCTTCGTGCCGGCTTCACTTTCAGAGCTGCTAATCTCTCTCCTAGGGGACATTTTTTAAAGGTGAACCCCCTGATGTTCGGGGAAGAGTTCCCTCCGCTCTCCAACTCATTTCCAGCAACTTGGAACTCTCGTTTTTTATCTTTTGTAGTTATAGAAGGTTAGACAGTCCTTGATCCAGACCAAAGTGATCCAGACCAAAGTTTTCCAGACCAGCACGTTTTTCTTTTTTGTTTTGGAATGCGGATGGTTACAGGAAGGCGGCCGCCGTTTGATAAAGCGCAGCAGGCCCTCACGCGATCGTAGACGAAGGCGCGACCTCGGGGACCAGTCGGCCTCTGAGAGGACTCCGCGCCAAAGCACCGGGTAGGTGGTGGACGTGCACCCGGGCCACGCGGGGCTGGGCCCGCGGCGCCGCAGGTGGGGGGCGCCAGACTCCCCGCGGCTTCCCACGCCCGGGAGGAGGGCCGAGCGCGCGGCGCGCCTCGCGGCAGCGTCCCAGGCCAGCGGCACGATGGCAGCCGCGCTCGGCAGGGCCGGGGGCGGCACTGCCCGGTCCCCTTGGCGTCTGAGGGGAAGCGCCGCCGCCCCGCTGAGGGGAGACTCGAAAGAAACTGGCACGGAGAGACCTAAGAAACTTGGCCGAGGTAGGAGCGGCGCGCGGCCAGGGGAGGGAGTCCACCTCCCAACCTTCCGGAAGGAGGAGGAGCCGGCGTCGGAGCCGCCTTCGCCGAGGCCGCCGGGCGCGGGGGGGGGGGGGGGGGGGGGGGGAGGAGTCAGCTCTTCAGCTCTAGGCTCGTGCTCTACCACTTGAGCCACAGTGCTACTTCCGGCTTGCTGGTGGTTAATTGGAGATAAAGTCTAATGCACTTTCCTGCCCTGGCAGGCTTTGAAATGGGATCCTCAGATCTCAGCCTCCTGAGAAGCTAGGATTATAGGCGCGAGCCACTGGCTGCAGGCCCTCTGCTGAATATTTGTTATGTTAATGGAGTTTGAATTTAGAACTTTAGATTTGCTAGGCATCCCCTTACTACTTGATCCAAGCCCCCAGTCTATTTGCTTATGCTTTTCAGCTAGAATCTGTCCTAGGGCCACAGTCCTCTGCTTTCTGCCTCACAGATAAGTTTTTGGGTTTTTTCTTTTTGTCAGCCGTGGGGCTTGAACTCATGACTTGGTTTCATACCTGAGTTTTCTTGCTCAAGGTTAGCACTCTACCACTTGAGTCTACAGCTCTACTTCTGGTGGTGAATTTTCTGCCCAGGCTAGCTTTGAACCGTAGTGCTCACCTCTCAACCTCCTGAGTGGCTAGGATTAGGCTTTGACCCACTAGCAACCAGATTCACAAATATGTTTTTTTCTTTTTTGTCGGTCATGAGGCTTCAAACTTTGATCCTCAGATCCCAGCCTCCTGAGTAGCTAGGATTATAGGTGTGAGACATGGTGCCTGGCTCTCTTAGGCTTTTTGGCTATCCATCATTTCATGTACAAATAAAAATAGTTCCTTCCTCTCCAACATTTATGCTCCATTTATGTCTTTATTACATTAGTTGGGACTCTTCAATAGGTGTGCCTCATTCGTGATAGTATAATTGTAATAAAGGTAGTAATCTTGTCTTTGATAACAATAGTGTTGTTTTGGTCTCTAGTAAAGATTGTGATCTCTTAAGGGCATTTCTTTTACTGTGTTAGGAGATACCATGGGGAATTTTCTGTTGGATATTATATAAAATACTGAATACCATGTGTTATGTTCTAGCTTCAGACAAGACCCTCAGCTAGGTACTATGGAAGAGAACAGGATCTATTAGTAGGATAGAATCCTTGGAGTCAAAAAAGATACCTCCTGGGCAGAGAAGACATAAATGAACAGTTGAAGTAGTAATATTGGTGGATAATCATGATTGTGTTTTCTTCCCAAATAGATTTATTCCCACAGAGCATCAGAAGAAGAAAGTAAAGAGTCCTCAAGGTAAATGGGAGTCAGTATATCTTACAGTGAAGATCTGAGAACTGGAGAGCTCCTAGAACTCATCTGTTTCTTTTCTTTTCTTTTTTTTTTAATACAAACCCTAGGACTGGCACAAAATGAAAGGTTTCAGAGCATAGCTCAAGTGGTAGGTTAGAATACCAGCCATGACCAAAAAATCAAGTGAGAGTATGAGGCCCTGAGTTCAAGCCCTAGTACCAATACAAAAAAAAAAAAAAAAAGGCAAGGTTTCATCTGGGCTTAAATATATCAGTACTTTTTTTTGTTTTTGCCGGTCCTGGAGCTTGAACTCAGGGCCTGGGCACTGTCCTTGTGCCTCTCTGTGCTCAAGGCTAGCATTCTACCACTTGAGCCACAGCGCCACTTCCAGCTTTTTCTATTTATGTGGTATTGAGGGCTTGCATGCTGGGCAAGCACTCTACCACTAAGCTACATTCCCAGTCTATATCGGCACATTTAATCAACACAATGCTTACTCTGTAAATTATGTCTAATAGGGGTCAAATTGGAAAACTTTATTCACAAATAGAAACTAATCACACACTGTGTGAGAGAGTTACACCATTAATGTAGGCAGTAGCTACTGTCTGAGAAATTCCTGTAGATAGGGCAACCATGCTGATCCTCACTCTTCGGCACTCTGTGTGCTGACATAGTCCTGCAGAAGCGCCTGTGCCTCTGCCCGCCGGCTCATCTTGGTGGCCTTTCCCTGGAAGCGGCCTTTCTTCCCGGCTCCTTTGCCTTCCAAGACCTCGGCCACCCTGGGGATCAGAGACAGTCAGGGCGATGTTTGTGAGGGAAAATCTATGAAAAGCAGCAGCAGCCCTGAGCCTTTCCTGGAATCTGGAGGAAGGAGGAGATAGGCAGGTGGCTTCTGGAGTCCTTAAAAGTATTTACACAACCAGCCGGGCACCAGTGGCTCATACGTGTAATCCTAGCTACTCAGAAGGCTGAGATCTGAGGATTGCAGTTCAAAGCCAGCCTGAGAAGGAAAGTCTGTGAGACGCTTATCTCCAATTAACCACCTGAAAACCAGAAATGGCACTGAGGCTCAAGTAGTAGAGCACTAGCCTTGAGCTGAAGAACTCAGGGACAGTGCCCAGGCCCAGAGTTCAAAGCCCCACAACTGACCAAAAAAATAAGTTTTTCAAAAAAACTTTAAATGCTGCAGGGCTCTGGTGGCTCATGCCTGTAATCCTAGCTACTCAGGAGGCCAAGATCTAAAGTCTGTGAGACTTATCTCCAATAAACCACCAGAAAAAAACTGGAAGTGGCTCAAGGGGTAGAGTGCTCACTTTGAGCACAGAGAGGCTCAGGGACAGCGACCTGGTCTGGAATTCAAGCCCCAGGACCAGAAAAAAAAAAATCATAGTAGACCCTTAGCATCTTGCATGTATACCTGGGCTAAGGGGCAAGAAAAGTAGGGACAGTACAAGCTGGAGTTGTGTCCTACCTGAGGACGGTAGCCACTCAGCTCTCACAGCCACTACCACAGAGGAATGTAAACTCAGGCTTACCAGTACTCAGGCGCCTCCCCATCTCCCTCTCTCCTTCGCATCCCCTCTGTCCCCTTTTAGAAAAGCCAGAACTTTGTAAAAAGATCTAATGTTAAAATGTACCAACTAATTTTTGTTGTTGTTGGTCATTGGGCTTGAACTAAGGCCTGGGTGCTGTTCCTGAGCTCTTTTGCTAAAGGCTAGTCACAGACTTCTGGTGGTTAAATGGAGATCAGGGTCTCAGGGCCTTTCCTGCCAGGCCTGGCTTTGAACTATGATCCTCAGATCTCAGCCTCCTGAATAGCTAGGATTATAGGCATTAGCCACCAGAGGCCAGATCCTTTCAACTTTTTTTTTTTTTGGGTCTGGTTGTGGGGCCTGAACTCTGGGCCTGGGCGCTGTCCCTCAGCTCTTCAGCTCAAGGTTAGTGCTCTACCACTTGAGCCACAGCGCCACTTCCGGCTTTTTTCTTTTTTGCTTATGTGGTGCTGAGGAATTGAACCCAGGGCCTCAGACATGCAAGGTAAGCGCTCCACCACTGAGCCACCTTCCCAGCCCCTCCTTTCAACTTTTAACTGTATTTTTTTTGTGTCTTTTCTTTTTTTGGTACTGGGGGTTAAACCCAGAGCATTGCACTTGCTAGGCAAGTGCTTTGCCACTGAGCTACATCCCAGCCCTCCTTTGAGCTTTTAACCAGACTGCATTAATAAATTAGTAGCTACCTGACTTTCCCACTTGTAGGGCAGTCTATGAGCTTTACCTTGGCCCCAGGGTTTCCACAGCCTCAGCCGGCCCTGCCAGTAAAAAGAGTCCAGCAGCTTTCTCATCTCCCACAGTTAAGAACAGGAGGGTCTCCTAGGAGATAGGACAATGTGAGTACCTCATGGGTCAACTCCCCTAAAGCTGTACTTTTTTTCAGTCTCATGAACAGTTGTCTCCCCTAAACCATGAGTGGTATTGCTGATGGCTATGGCCCCGCCCCTCCACTTTGATCTGACCATGGCCAAGTATAAAATAACTGTCATGGCCTGACTCCTGCCATCCTTTCAAACCTATCACGCACCCCACACCGCCATTACCTACACCACTATGCTTCCCCTTGCCTGCTGCCTGGCTCCCATCTATCAGACTTCCCTAAGCTCAGCTATTCAGGTAATATGTGCTCCAAATTATCCACACTGACACACACATGACTCCCATACTACAACATGAGCTACAATCACTGTCTACACAAAATTATGAAAAAAAAAAATATACAGTGCCAAACCTAAGTGGGTTTGGAATAATGCAAGAGAGCCACAGAAACCTCTAAGCTTACCGACTATCAAGACTGAAGACAAGTGAAGCCAGAGGCAGCAGCAGATAGACAGGATCTTCAATGGGCCTTTCCAATCCCTGCCTTTCTTGCTTCCTTTTTCTTTTCCTGATGTTGTTTTATGTTACTGGTTTTTGAAGTCAGAGACTTCAAAACTTGAAGTCTACCACTAGACTTCTTGACCACACCTCCCAGCCCTTTTTGCTGTATTTTTGGCAGGGTCTTGATTCTTCTTCCTCGCCTTCCTGGGGTGCTGGTCTATGCTATGATCTTCCTATTTAGGTTTCCTTCCATAGCTGGGATGACAGGTGAGCAACACCACATCTAACTTTTGCTATTGTGATGGGGTCTTGTGAATATTTTTTTTAGCCTGGAACTGTGATCTCAGTCTTAACCATCTGCAAACCTGGCAATTAGCTCAATCAACTTTTTAGTAGCTGAAATGGGGGCTTGAAAACTTTTTGCACATGCTGTCCTTGAACCACAACCCTCTATCTCTTGACTAGCTAGGATAAGATCTTGCTGTATGTGTTAGTTTTGTAGCTTCTTCTCTTGTCCTATTGTTTTTTCCATTCAAGGCTGATGCTCTACCACCTTAACTATACCTCCTCTTCTAGCTTTTTGCTGGAGTCTCTTAGATTTGTCTGCCCAGGTTGGCTTTGAACCTTGATCTTCAGATCCAGCCTTCTAAGTAGCTAGGATTACAGGTAGTGAGCTGCTCAAAACCAGCTTGGTCTTGAATTCTTGTTCCTCTTACTTTGCTGATCCTCCTGGGCTTACAAGCATGTTCCACCATACCTGGCTCCACCCCTGAATTTCTAATACTAGGTCCTAATCACATACAAATCTAAGTGGCTTTGAGGAGCTTCAGCTCTAATAAAACAACCTGGGAAGCTGACAAATGGCACAGCCTCCGAAAGATCAAATTCAATACCTCAGCGCTCAGCTCCTTGCTGGTGCTAGGAAAACAGTACTGAATGAGTTTGTGCTCCCTGTTCTGCATGTGCTAATGTGCAGTGGCTTCAGCTAAGCCAGTGCCCCTCTGAAAGCTCTGCTCCCCAGGTCTCTCCCTGGAGCATGGAGAATCTCATGTTCCTCTTACCTTTGACCCAATCTCGTTGGCAATGATATTCATGAACTCAGAATCGCCCTCCTTCCTACAACCAAGGACACAGATCTGAGATCCAGAGTGGAGTGGTAGCTGTGACAGGGCAGGAGGCCTGGTTCCTCATTGGGAGACAGGAAGATGAGTGGCAGGCCTCACTACTTTCTACTTGGGCTAAGTCCCACACCCCTTAGCAAAGCGATGCTGATGATGGAAGAGCAGCAAGACACCCTTCTCTACCTCAGCAGTTTATAAACAAGGGATTTCCATCTCCCTTCAGTGGGACTCATCAGGAGAAGAAAATGTGTATTGGATGGTGAAAGAAGCAAGGGAGGGGCTGGGAAGGTGGCTCAGTGGTAGAGTGCTTGCCTAGCATGCATGAGGCCCTGGGTTCAATTCCTCAGCACCACATAAACAGAAAAAGCTGGAAGAGGCACTGTAACTCAAGTGGTAGAGCACTGGACAGTGCCCAGGCCCACAGTTCAAGTCCTACAACCGACCAAAAAAAAAAAAAAAAGGAGGTAAGGGAAGATGCTAATGAAAGTCACAAGGTTACTTGTTACATCTTGTGAAGATGGTACTATCAAAGCCAGGGAATCTAGGTAACACATTTCTTAGGGTCTCTTCAGCCTGGAACACCATATGTTCTAGCAACCCACCTCCTACAAGGCTCGGCAGAGTGGAGAGGCTAGAATCCAAGCCCCATGCAGTTTCCCTGCCCACCTCTACAGTAGCTGGCTTCTCACCTGTGAAGTGTGACCACACGTCCACAATCCAGGCTACTCTGGAGGCTGTGGGCAATGTGTACAGCCAGGTCTCTGAGCAGATTCAAATTATTCTAAAATGGAAGTGAAATCTGAGTAAAAAGGTGGAAAGGATAAGAGAGAGCCCCACTTCTCACCACTTCATTTTCCCCTAACCTCTACAAACAAAGCCATACTTCTGACCTAAAGTGAGGGTAGAGTCTGGAGAACCTACTATAGGTCCCAGGCTCTCTCCCCTATCTTCAGAATGAATCACCTTTTGCAGGAGCTTGGTGGAGTTCTGGAGCTTTTTCACTGCATCCACATGATCCTCTGCTCCACACCTGTAAGACAAAGATCAATGGAGACCCATTGCCCAATGCTTCCAGTGTTAGGGCATAACTCAGTGATGCCCTCCTTGGAATGTGGACCTGGGCAGTTCTAAGGAGGCCCTTCAGCAACTGGCAGAGAGGATACAAAGGTATTAACCACTTTGTGTGGGCCTGGTTTACAGTCCAAAGCATTTTGATTACTTATGATTGCTATTATTCCTCCTCCCTGAGGTAAGAGATTATTCTATCTACATCACAAGTAAACAAGCTCAGCCTCAGTATCCAGGAAAAGGGGACAACTGAAGGGGGCTTACTTAAGTAGAGCGGTCAGTGCCTTTTCAGTTCCGTGACTTCTTTCCATCCATTTTAGCACCCGATTCCCAGCCAGAAATACCAAGTTGGTTTTGTTCTTCTTTCCCTTTTCAGTGCCCAGAATTTTAATGACCTACACAAAGGAGGTTAACACACATGAATAAACTAGAATGAATCCTATACCCTCACAGCAACAATGAAGGAGAGATTCCACGTAGGACTGGTTTACTACACCCAGCCCTGTTGTGCCCCCTGCTCCATTCCCTTCAACCACTCAACAACTCCCCACTTACCTGAAGGTCACTGAGATTGCGGACATGGGTCCCACAGCACATGTTGGAATCAACACCCTCAATGGTAACAACTCGAATGGGCCCAGCATGATCATCTGGCAAACCCCGGCCCCTTACCTGGAATAGCAGGAAGGAAGAAGAAGGGCTCTCAGAATTTTGATGAGGAGCCCTTAAGAGAGTCATTCTGCAAAAGCCAACCCCAGCTTTCCCCTCACCTGCTCCACCTCAGGATCATCCAGGCTCAGTTCTCTTACACTCACAGGCAGCCGATCTCTGATCTTCTCATTGACACTCTGCTCAATGGCAGCTACTTGCTCTGCAGTCACAGAGGGGCTGTCCAGCTCAATCACACTCCGGAGCCTCCCTAGCTCCCTGCCATAAAGAGGTGAGTGGCCACAGCATGCTGAATATTATAAAGGTAAGAGAGTTTTTTTTGTTTTTGTTTTTGGGTCCGGTTGTGGGGCCTGAACTCTGGGCCTGGGCACTGTCCCTCATCTCTTCAGCTCAAGGCTAGCGCTCTACCACTTGAGCCACAGCCCCACTTCCGGCTTTTTTCTTTTTGCTTATGTGGTGCTGAGGAATCGAACCCAGGGCCTCATGCATGCAAGGCAAGTGCTCTACCACTGAGCCACCTTTCCAGCCCAGATAAGAAAGTTTATAAAGAATGTTCACATAGGGGCTGGGATGTAGCTCAGTGGTAGAGTGCTTGCATAACCTGCACAAGGCCTAGGGTTTAATTCCTAATACCACAAAAAGATTATTCATATAGCCAGGTGTGGTGGTGCACACTCATAATCTTACCACTCAGGAGGCTGATGAAAGAGGATATTGAGGGAGGTCGGCCTAGGCTAGTCTACAAATGGAGTCTCCAAAAAACAACACTAAAAAACAAAAGCTTATATAAATTATTTTATTTAATCCTTACAACAATCCCACTCATTGGGGATTGCCATGTGGTGAGTAGTGAGGCCAGCACTGACCTCCTTGGTTCCAAATTTCATCTTAGTGTTTTTGTTGTTGTTTTTTAAAGCATCATTATTATTCTTCCCAGTTTTTGTAAGGATTAATTTTAGTATAACAGGGTTAAAGTAGGGGAAAATGGGGGAGGGAGAGAAAGAGAAATATTTCCTGCTCCCCATGAAGGAAACAGGAGTTAAAGACTCCAAAAGGTACCTACGATTTGAACTCAGAGCCTCAGCTTCACTAGACTTGATTGTTCTACTGGCACTCTACCACTTGAGCCATACCTCCAGCCCTCCATGTTCTTTCCAAGCAAAGGCCAATGTCTCTTCTCTCATCCTGTGTTCCCCCAAAGAAACACGAGGTCAAGAAGACAGCCAATTTTGAACACAACCACTTAAGAGTATGGGTATGATCCTTATATTCTAGACCCATTACTAGGAACAGAGCTGGTAATGCAGAATGCTAGATCATACCTTGTACCTCCTGCTTACCATGATGTTGTCTTCATCCCAAAGAGATGGTCAGCAACTGCTGTGATGAGATGTTGCCCTAAGCAAAAAGAGAGGAAAATGAAAAGTCCAGCCACATACTCCCATGATGACAAACAAAGTTTTTTTTGTTTTGTTTTGTTTTGTTTTTGTCAGTCGTGGGGCTTAAACTCTGGGCTTGGGTGCTGTCCCTCAGCTCTTCAGCTCACGGCTAGAGCTCTACCACTTGAGCCACAGCACCACTTCCAGTTTTCTAGTGGTTTTATTGGAGATAAGAGTCTCAGGGACTTTCCTGCCCGGGCTGGCTTGGAACCATGATCCTCAAATCTCAGCCTCCTGAGTAGCTAGGATTACAGGTATGAGCCACCAGCACCAGGCCAAATAAGGTTATTCTGATGGATTGCTGTGTGCAAAACAAACTACAGGGGAACAAAAATCAGTGGGAGAGCCTCATACTTTCCTATACAGGCTGACTTTGAACTGTGATCTTCAGATCTCAGCCTCCTGAGTAGCTAGGCTTACAGATGTGAGCACTAGTACTGATACACAGCAACTGTGCCTCTTGTTTGTCCTGCCCCACATACCTGAATGTTGCTGCATGTGGTCAAATCTCCGCTCCCAGTCCACCTGGACCTGGACCTGGCTCCCAGGGGCCAGAGATGTCTGTGTAAAATGATCAGCCTGGGCCCCCCGGCGGGTCACTCTCAGCACAGAGATGCCATTGATTGTGCCGCGGTCATCAGGCTAGGAGAAGTAAGTTATCAGCAGGAGGCAGGGCTCACCCAACCTCTTAGATACAAAGCTCCTCTAGGGAAAGACTATGTGAGACACATCCAGAATTTGAGCTCCCTAAGAGAAAAAGAAGAGGCAATGCCAAACGAAATATCTACTTTTCTTTGTGACAGGATTCCTTTTTACTTTGAACATCTATATATTTTGTTCTTCTGTGATTAAAACAGGCATTTAAGTATAGCAATAAAAATTTTTTAGAAAACTACAAACAAGGCTGGGAATGTGGTTTAGGGGTAGAGTGCTTGCCTAGCATGCATGAAGCTCTAGGTTCGATTCCTCAGTACCACATACACAGAAAAGTAGCACTGTGGCTCAAGTGGTAGAGTGCTACCCTTGAGCACAGAGAGGCTCAAGTACAGTGCCCAGGCCCCGAGTTCAAGGCCCAGGACTGGAGGGAAAAAAAAAAAAACAGGAGAAAAGTGCTTAGTGATGTGACAGTGATAGAGTGCTTACTTAGGATGTACAAGGCCCTGGGTTCAATACACACACAAACACACACACACACAATCAATCTTGTTCACCCTTCCTCTTTAGAGCCTGGGCTCAGCTCACACAGCACGAGTCGAATCAAGAATAAAGATTTGTAAGCACTGAAAGAACACGGACGTGAAGCGAGTGCCAGCAGTCTGGATTCCTCGGGCTCAGGCAGGCAGGCACAGCAGAGCGTTTTCTGTGAGCACAAAGGAAGGTGGGGTTCTTGGGAGGGCAGCAGGCTGGTACCTGTCCCCCGCCTTCGGGGAAAAGCAGCGTGTCTTCCAGCACCACCTGGAAACCGCTGAGAACTTCTTTCTCGCCATCGCGGCCCTCGCGCTGCAGCTCCGCGGGGCGGCAGGAGACCACGGCGGTGGTGAGCTAGCCACAGAGGGGCAAGAAAATGAGCCCCGGCCCGGGCCCTGCACCCTCACCGTGGCCCACCTTCCCGCCCCGGGGCTCTTCTTCCCCGAACCCCCCCTCCCGCCCGCCACCGGCCGCACCTCCCGGGCGTAGCTGTCACGCTGACACAGGAACGCCATGGCTGTCTCCCGGAACCGGAACACCGCGCACGCCAGAGCGCCCTGGGCGTGGACGGACCGCGACGCGGGACAACCTTGTGTGAGGGCGCGACTCTGCGCGGGAGCGCGAGCGAAGGGGCTGTTGTTTTTTCTAAAGTCACTGAAACAACGAATTGTATAGGAGCTGGTTGAAAAAGACCAGAAGACAACACTCGTAGCCTGAATTGGTCAAGGCATGTGTGTCAGCTAGTCTTTGGGCGCCTTGTTCTTTCAGCCCGCAGAGTCCCCGCGAACTGGGAAAGGTGCAGGCGTGGATACAGAGCAGGCTTGCCCGGTGGAAACAGAACAGATGTGAGGCACATCAATAATGTTTTATTCCAGTCAACATACCCAGTTTTACCTTGTCATGTAATGGATATTTAAAAATTAGTGAGGCCGGGTGCCCGTGGTTCGTGCTTGTAATCCCAGGTACTCGGGAGATTGAGGATGGCGGTTCAAAGGCAGCCCGCGGAGAAGTCGCCTGACTCTTATCTCTAATTAACCACTTAAAAACCCGCAGAGGAACTGTAGCTCAAAGTGGCAGAGCACTAGCCTTGGGCAAAACAAAAAGATCACGGACTGCGCCCTGGCCCAGAGTTCAAGCCCCACCACCGACAAAAAAAGTGCGGGGGAGAGGGGAGGGAGGCGTTGCTGGTAGCTCACATATATAATCCTAGTGATTCAGAAGGCTGAGATTTGAGGATGGTGGTTCAAAGTCCACCCAGGAACGTCTGTGAGACTCTCCAATTAACCACCAAAAAGCCAGAAGTTGTGGCTCAACTAGTAGTGAAATACGGATGCTAGATCTAAGTAACAGCATCTTGGCATCTTGATAGAAGTTAATGGAAGATGAGGACTTTCTGAGAACTCTAGAGGAAATAGAGGACATTCTTTGGGTTGCAATTGCTTCCTCTAGATAATTGGGGTCCTGAATGCCCCTCATTGTTCCCCTGGATAGTTTACTCTGTTAGGATTAAGTATCCACATCTAGTTTACTCTTCCTATGTCTAACATTTTTTTAGAAATTGGTATCCTTATCTAGTTGCTTTGTTTTATATATTACACTTTTGTGAAGACTTGGTCTCCACCCCAACACATTTTTTGCCTTTAAAAGCTTTGTGTAAGAGACATTCTGAGCTGCAGGTCTTTGTGACAAGAGTCCACCTGTGGTCACTGACTGACTTTCCATTAGACTCCAGATGTGACCTCTCAAATTGTGGCATCTCTGTATCTTGCTGATCAAATTCCAAATGACATTTTGAAGGCACCAACTAGATCCCAGTGCCAAGAGGGCACTTGGGCTCCTTGAAGCCACTGGCTAGCAGCCTTGATGAGCTGACTGCCAAAGGACAGAAACCCCCACAGAGGAGGTGCTTCCTGAAAGGGTCCAGGGCCCTGTGGTCTTTCTGCAGCTCCAAGCGCCAGCTTGTCGATGCCCAACAGGCCAACAATTTTTTTTTTTAGTCACTTAGGATACCTCCAGAGTAAGTTTCTGTTTATCTTTGCTTTCTGGGGATCTATCCAGTTGGAACTGTTGGGGGAGGGGAGCAGACGTGGGCAAGACCCCCTCAATCAGGCACTCAAGGTTACTGACAGGTTTTTGAGGTGCTGAGGAAGGAAGAAGATCCAGTGTTGATCTCCCAGCAAACTCTTGTATTTTTTGTGTTTCTGTTTTGGTCTTGTCTCATTCTGTCTTTTAAGAATTGGTACAAGTGGGCTGGGAAGGTGACTCAGTGGTAGAGTGCTTGCCTTGCATGCATGAGGCCCTGGGTTCGATTCCTAAGCACCACATAAGCAAAAAGAAAAAGAGCCGGAAGTGGCACTGTGGCTCAAGTGGTAGAGTGCTAGCCTTAAGCTGAAGAGCTGAGGGACAGCACCCAGGCCCAGAGTTTAGGCCCCATGACCAGACCCCCCCCCCAAAAAAAAAAAAAAAAAAACAAAGAAATGCAGGACTATACCAACATGGACACCCCGGGAGGTCACTCTCCCCGAGCTCTGTCCTCGTGGCCTAGGGGAGCATAGGGCTCTGCCCAATGATGTATAGTCCCTTTCCACAATGCCAGATATGAAGCCAGGCTTTTGTGTCTGAGCTTGCATATTCCTATAGCTTCCCAGAGTCTGTGGACAATGACTGGGGAGATAAACCATGCAGGAAACATACACTTTGGTGTAGGTGTGAGCTAATATTTTGCCGTTGTAGTTAAGCCTTAGTAGCTTTGACTTTTAGTCTTGCTATATTCATTTATTAAAAAAAAAAAAAAAAAAGAAATGAAGGACTAAACTAATTGCAATTGAAACTGCAATTATACCCTTAGTAACCACCAATTAGACAAGGACTGAGAAATAGCCGAAAAACATAAAAGTTTCCAAAAAAGGTAGTATGGTCAGGCCGCATTCAAACCTCAGTACATGCCCATGTAATTGTAACCCCTCTGTACAGTATTTTCACAATTAAAAAAAAAAAATCAAACCTCAGTACATGGGCCAAATAGGACACTGACAAAACTACTTCTGTAAATATCAGCCAATCATGTGGCTTGTGTGGAAATCCCCTAAACATATTTGTTCAATACTATAAAAGCTGTGCTGATTTTGTGCTCGGGGCCTCTTAGCATCACCGGTTGCGGAGTGCGCAGAGGACCAAGCTTGAGGCTTGCAATAAACGACTCTTTTTGCCTGTTACATTGGTCTTGGTCTCTGGGAGTCTCTCTGGGGTCTCGGGTTTGAGCTTAACAGAAACAGAACAGTTTCTAGAAATTTATTATAGTCTATTTCTTCCTTGGCTTTTGCTCTGCCAAATGTACACCATATTTAAATAATCAGACCAAACACAGAAATTCTAAGTCAATAAATAGGAAGCTACTCTTCTCTCCTCAACTATTCTGATGCAACATCAAACTCAAGTGCCTAGCAAGAACACATAAAACACACAAAGGACCCTCAACAGAGAAATTTTACCAAAGTTCAGAGATCTCTGAAGCCTTTGGAACACAAGATACCTGACTAAAGTACAGGCCATGGCTTTTTAGAGAAACAGAAGGTAGCCACCCCCTCCCCCAGATCTGCTCTCACAAAAGTTAATTACTTGCTGCATCCGCACTGTCAGAATCATCCTGTGGGAAAAAGAAAAAAGCATCTGTAGTTTATAGAGAGTAAGTATTTGTGTTGATAAATGTTGCTTATTCTTTCTCCTCTCTTGGTTTCCTGGTTATAAGTATAAACCACAATTCTTTTTTTTGGGGGGGGGAGGTCCGGTCATGGGGCCTGAACTCTGGGCCTGGACGCTGTCCCTCAGCTCTTCAGCTCAAGGCTAGCGCTCTACCACTTGAGCCACAGCGCCACTTCCGGCTTTCTTCTTTTTGCTTATGTGGTGCTGAGGAATCGAACCCAGGGCCTCATGCATACAAGGCAAGCACTCTACCACTGAGCTACCTTCCCAGCCCTAAACTACAATTCTTAGGGTGCTTTAAAAAACCTAGAGCCAGCCTAGGGTGCTAGTGTATCATGCCTGTAATCCTAGCTACTCAGGAGGCTGAGATCTGAGAATTGCAGTTCAAAGCTAGCCTGGGCAGGGAAGTCAATAAGACTCTTATCTCCAATAAACCATCAGAAAACCAGAAGTGGCACTGTGGCTCAAGTGGTAGACTGCTTGCCTTGAGCTAAAGAGCTAGGGGACAGTGCTCAAGGCCCAGAGTTCAAGCCCCATGGCTGACAAATAAAACAAAAAAACCTAGAGATTCTGGGACTTGAATTCAAGACCTGGTGCTAACCCTGAGCTTTTTTTTTTTTTTTCTTTTTTCCTTTTTTCTCTCTCAAAGCTAGCACTCTGCCACTTGAGTATAAGCTCTACTTCTGGCTTTTTGGTGGTTAACTGGAGATAAGAGTCTCATAGAGGGCTGGGAAGGTGGCTCAGTGGTAGAGCGCTTGCCTTGCATGCCTGAGGCCCTGGGTTTGATTCCTCAGCACCACATAAGCAAAAAGAAAAAAGCTGGAAGTGGTGCTGTGGCCTAAGTGGTAGAGCGCTAGCCTTGAGCTGAAGAGCTGAGGGACAGCGCCCAGGCCCAGAGCTCAGGCCCCACGACAGGACCCCAAAAAAAAAAAAAAGAGTCTCATAGAGGGCCTGGGAAGGTGGCTCAAAGGTAGAGTGCTTGCTTTGTATGCATGAGGCCCTAGGTTCAATTCCTCAGTACCACATAAGCAGAAAATGCCAGAAGTGGCACTATGGCTTAATTGATAGAGCACTAGCCTTGAGCTGAAGAGCTGAGGGGCAGCGCCCATGCCCAGAGTTTGGGCCCCATGACTGACAAAAAAAAAAAAAGTCTCATGGATTTTTTTCATGCCCAGCCTGGCTTAGAACCATGATCCTCAGATATTAGCCTCCTGAGTAGCTAGGATTATAGATATGAGCCACCAGCAGGATAATAAAAACAAATCACTGGCACTCAATAAATAGTACTTTATTAAAGGCAGAAAATAATTTTAAAGGAGTGGTGGGGGGAGGATGGGAAGGAATGGGAAGGGGAAACAAAGGAGGAGGCTACAATGCTTGATAAGAAATGTACTCATTGGCTGGGCGCTGGTGGCTCACGCCTGTAATCCTAGCTACTCAGGAGGCTGAGATCTGAGGATCGCGGTTCAAAGCCAGCCCGGGCAGGAGAGACTGTGAGACTCCTATCTCCAATAAACCACCAGAAAACCGGAAGTGGCGCTGTAGCTCAAGTGTAGAGCGCTCGCCTTGAGCTGAAGAGCTGAGGGACAGCACCCAGGCCCAGAGTTCAAGCCCCACGACCGACAAAAAAAAAAAAAAAAAAAAAAAGAAATGTACTCATTATCTTGCCCATGTAATTGTAACCCCTCTGTACAGTATATTCACAATAAAAAAAAATAAAAATTTAAAAAAGAAAATAATTTAAAAAATAAAGGGCTGGGAAGGTGGCTCAGTGGTAGAGTACTTGCATGCATGAGGCCCTGGGTTCGATTCCTCAGTACCACATAAGCAAAAAGAAAAAAAAGCCAGAAGTGGCGCTGTGGCTCAAGTGGTAGAGCACTAGCCTTGAGCTGAAAAGCTGAGGGACAGTGCCCAGGCCCAGAGTTCAGGCCCCACGACTGAACCCAAAAAAAATAAAAAAATAAAAATAAATAAAGGAAGATGGAAGAAGTATCCTGCTTTAGTGAACATTTGACAGCAGGTATCAAATTCAAACCTGATTAACATTCACTGAGAACTACTATGTACTAAAAACTGGGATACAGCTTTGTAGTAGTGTTTGGGTTTTACCCTTCTCTCCTTCCCTTCCTTCCTCTCTTTCCCTCCTTCCCTCTTGCCCTACTTCCTTTTCCCTTCCACAGGGTAGCAACGCTTTTCCATTGATGTATGTCCCCAGCTCTAGTGTATTTTTGTTTTTGTGCCAGTCCTGGAACTGGGATTCAAAACCTGGATGTTTCCCTTGAGCTTTTTGTTTAAGGCTGGCTCTCTACTATTTAAGTCACACTTCCACTTTCAGTTTTTTGGTGGTTAATTGGAGATAAGAGTCTCATGGAGGCTGGGAAGGTGGCTCAGTGGTAGAGCGCTTGCCTTGCATGCCTGAGGCCCTGGGTTCGATTCCTCAGCACCACATAAGCAAAAAGAAAAAAGCTGGAAGTGGCGCTGTGGCTCAAGTGGTAGAGCGCTAGCCTTGAGCTGAAGAGCTGAGGGACAGCACCCAGTCCCAGAGTTCAGGCCCCACAACCAGACCTCCTCAAAAAAAAAGAGTCTCATGGACTTTACTGCCTGGACTGGCTTCAACAATGATCCTTACAACCTCCTGAGTAGCTAAGATTATAGGCATGAGTGTTTTGTGTGTGTGTGTGTGTGTGTGTGTGTGTGTGTGTGTGTGTGTGTGTCGGTCATAGGACTTGAACTCTGGGCCTGGGCACAGACCCTGAGTTCTTCAGCTCAAGGCTAGCACTCTACCACTTGAGCCACAGTACCACTTCTGGTTTTCTGGTGGTTAACTAGAAATAAGAGTCTCATGGACTTTCCTGCCTGGGCTGGCTTTGAACCACCATCCTCAGATCTTAGCCTCCTGAGTAGCTAGGATTACAGATGTGAGCCACTGGCACCCAGCTAATGTGTTATTTTTATTTTTTATTTTTATTTTTATTTCTTGGGTCCGGTTGTGGGGCCTGAACTCTGGGCCTGGGTGCTGTCCCTCAGCTCTTCAGCTCAGGGCTAGCGCTCTACCACTTGAGCCACAGCGCCACTTCCAGCTTTTTCTTTTTGCTTATGTGGTGCTGAGGAATCAAACCCAGGGCCTCAGGCATGCAAGGCAAGCGCTCTACCACTGAGCCAACTTCCCAGCCCCATAATGTGTTATTTTTAAAGACTAAAAAGAAACTGAATTTGGGTACATGTGGCTCATGCCTATAATCCTACCTACTTAGGAGGCTGAGATCTAAGAATCGAAATTCAATGCCAGCCCAGGCAGGAAAGTCCATGAGGCTCTTTAATTAACTAGGTAGAGTGTTAGCCTTGAGAGAAAGAGCTCAGGGACAGTGACAGGCCCTGAGTTCAAGCCCCATGACTGACAAAAAAGAAAAAAGAGACTGAGGGACAAGTGTGAGCAAGTGGCTCACACTTGTAGTTGTAGTTACTCAAAAGGCTGAGATCTGAGAACTGCAGTTCAAAGCCAGTCTAGGCAGATAAATCCTAGATATTCTTTTCTCCAATTAGCTAGAAAAAGGATTAGGTGGAGATGTGAGTGAAAAAGCCAACCAAGAGTATAAGGTCCTGAGGTCAAGTCCCCAATACTTGCACAACAAAAATAAAAGAAACTGAAGGGTTGAGGCAAAAGCATTACTTACATCTAGGTCATCCATGGCAGGAGGAGGTCTCTTGGTACTGACCTTCTGCAAAAGCTAATGGAAAGAGAAAATAGTCAAGAGAGAGGAGTAATAATAATAATAATAATACTCCCTCCCAACACAGATGGCTCAGACCTGTAATCCTAGCTACTCAGGAGCTTGACATTTGAGGACTGAGGTTTCCAAGCCAGCCTATGCAGTAAAGTCCATGAGACTCTTATCCTCAATTAACCAGGAAAAAAAAAAAGCCAGAAGTAGAGGTATGACCCAAATGGTAGAGCCCCAGCCTTGAGCAAAAGAGCTAAGGAACAGGACGAAAGCCCTGAATTCCAGCCCCAGTACCATCACACACACTAGAAAAAGAGAAAAGAAAAAAGAAAAAAAAAAGGAAAAGGGAAAAAAGGAGAGCAGAGATCTGCAAACTGATGGGCTGCCTGAGAAAGGTCCTGCCAGACACAGCCAGGCAACATTGCCATCTTCAAAGTCCCTAATATACCACTGGAATTAATTGGAAAAAAATAAACTGAACCTCTTCTTCTTCTTTTTTTTTTTAGTCATGGGACTTGAACTCTGGGCCTGGGTGCTGTCCCTGAACTCTTCAGCTCAAGGCAATTGCTCTACTACTTGAGCTACAGCGCCACTTCCAGTTTTCTGGTGGTTTATTGGAGATAAGAGTCTCATGGACTTTCCTGCCCGGGCTGGCTTTGAACTGTGATCCTCAGATCTCAGCCTCTCAGTAGCTAGAATTACAGGCATGAGCCACTGGCGCCCAGCTTTGAACCACTTCTTAGAAGGTAATTTAAAGCTGGGTACTGGTGGCTCATGCTACTCAGGAGGTAAAAACCTGAGAATCACGGTTCAGATCCAGCCTGGGCAGAATAATCCAAAGAATCCATCTCCAATTGTCTAGCAAAAAACTAGAAGTGGAGGCAAAGCTCAAAGTAGAGTGCTAACCATGAGTAAAAAAGCCACACATACACACAAAAGAGGTTCAGGGCTGGGAATGTGGCTCAGTGGTAGAGTGCTTGTCTCACATGCATAAAGCCCTGGATTCGATTCCTCGGTACCACATAAACAGAAAAAGCAGGAAGTAGTACTCTAGTTCCAGTAGTAGAGCACTAGCCTTGAGTAAAAAGATGCTCAGGGACAGTTCCCAGGCCCTGAGTTCAAGCCCCATGAAGGAGGAAATCTTGAGTTCTGGCATCCCCCCAAAAAAATAAATTAATTTAAACCACATGATGATGCATGCCTATAATCTGAGAACTCAAAAAGTTGATGCAAGCCAGGTGCCGGTGGCTCACGCCTGTAATCCTAGCTACTCAGGAGGCTGAGATCTGAGGATCTCGGTTCAAAGCCAGCCAGGGCAGAAAAGTCTGTGAGACTCTTATCTCCAATAAAGCACTAAAAAACTGGAAGTGGCACTGTGGCTCAAGTGGTAGAGTGCTAGCCTTGAGCTGAAGAAGAGCTCAGGGACAGTGCCCAGGCCTAGATTTCAAGCCCCAGGACCGACCAAAAAAAAAAAGGATTGAGGCAAGAATTCCTCAAATTCAAGACCAGCTCAGTTACATAGCAAGACCCTAATCTCAAAAAGGAAAGCCTCATGCCGGTGGCTCACACCTGTAATCCTAGCTACTCAGGAGGCTGAGATCTGAGGATTTTGGTTCAAAGCCAGCCTGGGCAGGAAAATCCGTGAGACTCTTATCTCCAATAAACCACTAGAAAACTGGAAGTGGCACTGTGGCTCAAGTGGTAGAGTGCTTGCCTTGAGCTGAAGAGCACAGGGACAGCGCCCAAGCCCAGAGTTCAAGCCCCAAGACCGACCAAAAAAAAAAAGAAAAAAAATCCAGGCACTGGTGGTTCATACCTGTAATCCTAGCTATTCAGGAGGCTGAGATCTAAGGATTGTGGTTCAAAGCAGCCCAAGCAGGGAAGGTTGTAAGACTCTTTTTTTTTTTTTTTTTTCTTTTTGCTTATGTGGTGCTGAGGAATCGAACCCAGGGCCTCAGGCATGCAAGGCAAGCGCTTTAACCACTGAGCCACCTTCTCAGCCCCGGTTGTGAGACTCTTATCTCCAATTAACCACCAGAAAATGGAAAGTGGAGCTGGGGCTCAAGTGGTAGGGCTCTAGCCTTGAGCTGAAGAGCTCAGTGTCTGCATCCAGGCCCAGAGTTCAAGCTCCACGACCAACAAAAATAAATAAATACACCCTCCTTATTAACCCAAATTTGGGGTTTCTTAGAGTGTTTTACTAGGGTTTGAACTCAGAGCTTCTCATCTGCTAGGTCAGTACTCTATCACTTATGTCATGTCTACAGCTCTGTTTTTGTAATTTGAATAAAAAGTGGCTAATAAGCTAGGCACTGGTGGCTCATGTCTGTAATCCTACTCAGGGGGCTGAAATCTGGGGATCATGGTTCAAAGCCAGCCAAAGCAGGAAAGTCCATGAGCCTCTTATCTCTAATTAACCACCTAAAGACCAGAAGTAGAGCTGTGGTTCAAAGTGGTAGAGTGGGGGCTGGGAAGGTGGCTCAGTGGTAGAGCGCTTGCCTTGCAAGCCTGAGGCCCTGGGCTCGATTCCTCAGCACCATATAAGCAAAAAGAAAAAAGCCGGAAGTGGCGCTGTGGCTCAAGTGGTAGAGCACTAGCCTTGCGCTGAAGAGCTGAGGGACAGCACCCAGGCCCAGAGTTCAGGCCCCACGACTGGACCCAAAAAACAAAAAACAAAGTGGTAGAGTGCTAGCTAGCCCTGGGCAAAAAAAAAAAAAAAAAAAAAAAAAAAATTACTTAGGGTCATATCCTGAGTAAAATTACTCAGGGTCAGCAAATCCCATGAGCCCCCTCACTCCAAAAAAACTAATATTCTGAAACCAAATGACACATGACAGGGGTTATACAATTTATTTGTAACTAATGACTTATTTTATATGAATTTTTATTTCTGGTCATGGGGCCTGAACTCTGGGCCTGAGCGCTGTCCCTCAGCTCTTCAGCTTAAGGCTTGCACTCTACTACTTGAGCCACAGTGCTACTTCCAGCTTTTTCTGCTTATGTGATGCTGAGGAATCGAACCCAGGACCTCATGCATGCAAGGCAAGCACTCTACCACTAAGCCACCTTCCCAGCCCTAAATGAATTTTTTACTGTCCCAAGTATTCATTGCTAAGAGTTCCATGAAAAGCTGGTAGCCAGTGGCTCCTGCCTATAATCCTAGCTACTCAGGAGGCTGAGGATCAAGATTTGAATCCAGCCTGAGCAAGAAGTTCTGTGAGGCTCATCTCCAATAAACTACTCAAAAAAGCCGAAGTGCTGTGGCTCAAGTGGTAGAACGCTAGCCTTGAGCTGAAGAGCTCAGGGACAGCACCCAGGCCCAGAGTTCAAGACCCACAACAACAACAAAAAATAATAATAATGAATTACCAAGATGGGCAACAGATGGTGATGTATCTCTTACCTCTGCATAATGTTCCACCTGAGCCAGCTCCACCTCTTCATCCCCTTCCCAGTCTCTCCAGTTATCGTAGTCCACAGACAGCCACACTGGCTGTTAGGGGAAGCAGAGCATCATGGGTAAAAAAAATAGAAACAAGAGTATATAGAAGTGCACGCTTGGGAGAAAGAGAATCAATAGGGTAAAGATCTATAGCACCCTCTTGACCAACCCCTTTCCCCTTTGCCACTTCATCATCACATCCACAAATATTTACTAGGAATCTATTAGGCACCAAACATAATGCTAGTAATAAGAGGGTCTTGAAACACAGAAGTCTTCCCTCTAAGTGCAGATTGACTATAGGACAACTGTACCTGCAAAAACAACTATCACAGAGCATTGTTACAGTCAACCAAACAAGAAATTCAAACTGCACTTCCTACTCCAGGGAATGCAAGCCTTTGAGACCCTTGTCCCAAAGTTCCCATATTCATTCAGGGAAGACATTATTCATGCATTTATTTAACAAATGATTTTTTTTTTTGAGAGGGAGGGGGTTTTGTCAGTACTGGGCTTGAACTCAAGGCCTTGTGCTCTAACTAGAACTTTCTGCTCAAGGGTGGCACTATACTAAACCTCTAATTCTTACATTTTCGTGGTTATTTGGAGATAAGAAGCTCACTGATTTTCTGTCTGTGCAAGGTTGGTTTTTTTCCCCCAGTCCTGGGGCTTAAACTCAGGGCCTGGGCACTGGCACTGACCCCCAGCTTCTTTTGCTCAAGGCTAGCATCCTACCACTTGAGCCACAGTGCCACTTTCAGCTTTTTCTGTTTATGTGGTAATGAGAGATTGAATCCAGGGCTTCATGCATGCGAGGCAAGCACTCTACCACTAAGCCACATTCCCAGCCCTCTGGGCTAGTTTTGAACCAGGATCTTCAGATCTCAGCCCCCTGAGTGGCTAGGATTATAGGTATGAGGCACCAGCACTGTTCAGCAAATCCAGCAACTAATTAAAATTTGCAAATGTTATTGTGACTGTGGAAAGACTGGTCAACAAAAGTTGACCTGCAGGTGTTTAACTTTCTTTAGGGAGAGGAAGTCACTAGAAGGCCTTTTGTTTTGTGTGTGTGTGTGTGTGTGTGTGTGTGTGTGTGTGTGTGCTGGTCCTGGGGCTTGAACTTTGGGTCTTGCCTCTGTCCCTGAGCTTTTATGCTCAAGCCTGGTGCTATACCATTTGAGCCACAGATCCACTTCTGACTTTTTGCTGGTTCATTGGCAATAAGAAGCTCACAGGGGCTGGGAAGGTGGCTCAGTGGTAGAGCGCTTGCCTTGAATGCCTGAGGCCCTGTGTTCGATTCCTCAGCACCACATAAGCAAAAAGAAAAAAGCCGGAAGTGGTGCTGTGGCTCAAGTGGTAGAGCGCTAGCCTTGAGCTGAAGAGCAAAGGGACAGCACCCAGGCCCAGAGTTCAGGCCCCACGACCGGACCCCCCCCCCCCCCAAAAAAAAAGAAGCTCACAGACTTTCCTGCCCAGGCTGGCTTTGAACCTCAATTCTCAGATCTCAGCCTCCTGAGTAGCTATGATTACAGGTTTGAGACACCTGTGCCCAGCTTAGAAGGCCTTCAGTAGAAGAAAAACAAAGTAAATGTGTGTTTTAGACAGACCATGCTGGGGTTAATGCAGAGTAACTGAAAATGGGGCAGAAAATATACAACAAACCTCTCAACAAAGTTGAATAGTCATGCCAGCACTCAGGAAGCTGAGGCAGAAAGATGTGAGTATGAGGCCAGGATAGGTTACATAACCAACTGTCTCAAAAACAAAACAAATGAATCAAAACAGTGTGGTATCTATACACAATGGAATTTTACACAGCCATTACAAAGAATAATATTATGTCATTTTCAGGGAAATGGATGGATACACAACAAATCACGTTAAGTGAGGTAAGCCAAACTCAGAGAGACAGAAGCACATGTTTTCTCTTCTATCAGAAAGCTAGATCTAAAATACACTGGGACATGATAAATTATACAGGACTTGAGGCATTCATACACAGTGAGAACAAAGGACAATCACTCTTAGGAGAGGAACACAAGGGCACAATAAAGGCTCAGTGCCTCTGTGTGTCTGACTATATAGAATAGTGTTTATCAAAATGAATTCCAGGAAATGGAAAGAGGCAGCTTTTTTCCTTTTTTTTTTATCTGGTTTATTCATTTGTCTGTCTTTGGAGTGTTAGGGTGAACACAGAAATGGAGGGACAAAGAGTGAACAAATGCAGCACTGGTACTCACTGGACACTGTTGAAAATAAACTGGCAGGGATGGGAGGGAAAGTCTAACCCAATGCCTGAGTACATACATAGAAACAAGAAGAAGCAAGCCACTCCCCACGTACTCACCTTGATATCCTCCTTAGTGAGCCGTGGCCAGGCCACCTTCTCCTTCCATTTCCTCACAAAGCAAGTGATAGAGCGGCCAGAGCGCTTATCCTGGGAGTCCTGCCAGATACAGAATTTCATTCTTAGAGTCTGAGTTTTAGAATGAATCTCCAGTTTCCCTAGGCAGCCTTTTCATCCAGGCACTAATTACTGTTGGTGTCCACCCTCACCTTGGAGTTCACCTTGGCATAGAACTCAATCTCATTGTACAACTCCACTCCATCACCATTCTTGCAGCTGAGGAGACAATGAAGTTGAGAAGATGCAGAAAACTGATAGGAAAAGTCAGATCCTTTGGAGGGGAAGATGTTACCTGAACACAATGCGGTGGTCCTCCAGGAGCACGCGGACATCAGTGCTGTCCTCAACACAAAACTCCATGAACACATACTTGGGCCTGTCATACCACAGGGTCTTGGCGTGCTGTCTGAAGGGGAGTGGAGATAGAGCTTCACAGGAGTAAGCAAGGGGAAACTGAGGGCAGTTGGGAGGGGTAGGGAAAGGGGACAACAAAGGGGTTTGGGGTGGTACTATAGGATTTTTTCTGGGGGGGGGGTCAGGTGTGGGGCCTGAACTCTGGGGCCTGGACATTGTTCCTCAGCTCTTCAGCTCGAGGCTAGCACTCTACCACTTGAGCCATAGCACCACTTTCCGGCTTTTTCTGCTTATGTGGTGTAGAGGAATCGAACCCAGGGCTGCATGCATTCAAGGCAAACACTCTACCACTGAGCCACCTTCCCAGCCCTGGGTGGTACTAAGTCTTGTCAAAGTGGAGCTAAATAAAAGAAAAAAAGAATAGGAGAGGAATGGGTGTACTTGGTGAGGTTGAAACCTGGGAAGAATCAAGAAAATGCTAGACTAGGCAAGTTGGGAACTTAAGAGGAACGTTCTTGTTACACTACACCACCACCCCACAGAGACCTGGGATCTTGGGATCCCACAGAATTCAGGGTTCCTATGAGCCCTGGGACAAATCTTGGTACAGGGAATCTCCAGGGAAAAGGGCAGGGAGAGAGGTCGGGTACTACGGGCCCTCCGGAAACTTACTGTGCCATAGCGACTCCAGCTGCCCAGTGGATTTTCTAGTCTCAGGCGAGGGACTCTATCTTTAGATCCTGGAGACGCCCCCAACAGCTGTCTCTCCTTGTATGGTCAGGGTAATGGTTGAGGGGAAAGGAAACGCGGCTGGCGTTCTAAGCGCCAGAGGGACCCTGAGAAAGCTGAATCCCTCAGCCTTTCACTTCTCGGGGTCTCCATAAATACAGAGATTAGGAAGAGACTAGCCACCAGCTAGTACAGCTCTCATTGACCCTATACACAGGAAATCATTTGTCTTCGCCCTCATTCACCTCCTTCTCCCACGCTTGGCACTTTATGTCAATTTACAATAGATGCATTAAATATATGTACATATATATATATATATATATATATATATTAAAACCGACTGGCGCAAACGAAATCCTCCCGGTTGTTCCCAGATCGTGAAGCTGCAAGTCCCGCCCGCTGCCCCGCCCGCTGCCCCGCCCGCTGCCCCGCCCGCTGCCCCGCCCGCTGCCCCGCCCGCTGCCCCGCCCGCTGCCCCGCCCGCTGCCCCGCCCCGGCTTCTCGGCCTTGGCGCCGTTGCCATGGCAGCAAAGGGGCGCGGCTGACGTGCGCCGGCGTTTCCGGAAAGATGGCGGCTGTGGAAGCAGCTGTGGAACCGGTAACAGTGGTGGCGAAAACAGGGCCGAAGACGAAGGACGAAGAGGAGGAGGAGGAAGATGAGTCGCTGCCACCTTGCGAGGCGGTGCGCTGGGCCCCGGTGGGGGCGGTGGCGGAGGCTGGGCCTGGGGCGGCTGCGTTTTCGGAAGAAACCGTTGCGGAAGATCCGGTCGCGACCGCGGGATCCCCTCCGGATTCGCCCAGCCAGACGCTGCGGCGGCTGCGGGCCGAGCGGCGGCGGCTGGACTCGGCTCTGCTCGCGCTGTCCTCTCACTTCGCGCAGGTGCAGTTCCGCCTGCGCCAGGTGGTGCGCGGGGCGCCGGCAGAGCAGCAGCGCCTCCTGCGCGAGCTGGAAGACTTCGCCTTCCGCGGCTGCCCTCACGTCCTGGGTTACGAGGGGCCTGACGACCCCGCGGGCGAGGAGGACGACGGGCTGCGGGGGTACCGGCCGCGGCTGCGGGGCGAGAACCAGGTGAGTGGCTGAAGCTGCCCTCCCCGCTCCCCCCCGTTAGGAATAGGGCCTAAGAGATGGGACTTCGTGGCGCGGTGAAGAAAGGAGGAGGAAATGGTGAGACTCGGACCTACCCGTCCATGGGTGTGGATACGTGGGCCCTGAGCGCGCTGGAGAGAGGGAACCGGGTACCAGGAGCAGTGCTGCCACTGTCTGACTGTCTGGCCCACACCTGATTAACGTACCCATCCTAAACAGTTGTGGCTATTGTTGTATGGGAGCTTGAACCCAATGACCTAGTTACTTCTGTTGATAGAGTACTCTGACCCCGAGGAGTGAAAAGAAAGTGAGTTCGAATTCACGGAGGTTGTAATTCCCGCGGTCTTCTGGCGTGTAGGCAGTTTTTTAAACCGTACATTGTCTTGTCTTGGTGAGAACTTTGGAGTGGGACAATCTAGTAAATTATTTTTCATTTTGTTATCTTTAAATAGGGGTTTCAATTGCACATGTCAGTTGATGCACCCTTTTGTAGTCAGTCACAAGAAACACAGCCCTTGATTGTATGAGCTAACTGACATTGGTGTGTTCAGAGTACTTCATCCTGATTAATATCTAGGTACTCTGATTGAGGTCCTCTGGTAATTGCCAAGATGGATTCGGCTGCCTGCCTTGAGAAGCAATGAAGTTATGTACACCCACAACCAGGGAATGGTTTCTTTACAAAGTGTTGAATCTCTGGAAAGTACACAGATGTAGGTAGCATGTGGAGATGTTGGGACACTGCCTTTTCCACCATTTTTTTTTTCCTTGTCTGTCAGGGCCTGGGCACTCAGGGCTAGCAATCTACCTTTTTTTTTTTGGGGGGGGGGGGTCGGTCATGTGGCCTGAATTCTGAGCCTGGGCCCTGTTCCTCAGCTCAGCTCAAGGCTAGCCACTCTACCACTACAGCCACAGCACCACTTCAGCTTTTTCTGCTTATGTGGTGCTGAGGAATTGAACCCCAGGCCTCATGCATGCAAGGCAAGAACTGTACCACTGAGCCACCTTCCCAGCCCCCCAATCTACCACTTTGAGCTCCAGTGCCACTTCCGGTTTTTCTGGTGTTGTCTCATGGACTTTCCTGCCTTGGCTGGCTTTGAATCATGATACTCAGATCTCAGCCTCCTGAGTAGTTAGGATTATAGGTGTGAGCCTCCAGTACCCTATTCTCTTTCACCTTTCTATCTTACAAGTTACAATCCACATATGACTTCCTTCCCACTCAAATTGGTTATGGCCAAGAACTTTTATCAGTAGCAGATAGTGATTTGTATATTTAAACCTGAGATCTTTCCACAATCCCAGGTGTGTTGTTCCACTCTTCTCTCCACATACCCCCAAGCTCCTTGACACAAAGAACAGCTTCCTCAAATTCCCAGACTTAAAGACAAGAAAAGATATAATTAACTCCTGAGAAAAGATACAAATAGGGCTGCAATGTGGCTTAGTGGTAGAGTGCTTGCCTAGCATGCATGAAGCCCTGAGTTCGGTTCCTCATTACCACATAAACAGAAAAACCAGAAGGAGTACTGTGTAGCTCAAGTGGTAAAGTGCTAGCTTTAAGCAAAAAGAAGCTCAGGGACAGTGCCCAGACCCTGGGTTCAAGCCCCAGCACTGGCAAAAAAAGAAAGAAAGAGAGAGAGAAAGAAAAGATACAAATAACTCCTAACCAGGTTTTCAGAGGTGAATAGCACCAAAGGTTCTCTGTGGATGTGGCACTGTCTTTTAATTGTGGGTTGTCACTTTCACAATATAACAAGTCAGGTGTGATGGCACAGAACGATAATCCCAGCACTCAGGAAGCTGAGGATCTCTTCCAGGCCAGCCTGGGCTATACTGTATAAGGAGACCCTGTCTCAAAGAATAAAAAAGATTAAAAAGTATTGTCTGATCTGTCTAATAAGCAGCTAGACTGTGGGGTGCAAACATTGACAGGATGGGAAATATTTTTTGAATCAAATTATTTCCTTCTTACCAGTTCTGGGTTTTTTTTGTTGTTGTTTTTATCTCAGCTCATACCAGGAATTATTTCTGTTATTTTCTGCCTTGTAATATAACTTACTGTTCTCTGCTACTAATTTGTTTGTCCACATTCCAGCAAATACCATATTGTAGGTACCACAGCAGGTGGCAGAGTTTGCAGACAGTCATTAAACCAAGTCTAGTTTATGGCTAGGTTCTTTCTTCCTTGGCTTCATAAAGTGAGGATGTGAGAGGAGCAAAGATTATTTTTCCTTGGTTCTTTCTCCTTGGGCTAGTTAAACTTCCTCCACTAGAGTTCATTATTTGGACTTTGTCACTGTACCTAATATAACTCAGTAACCTATGGCAAACATACTGAAATCTCCCCAGTGCCAAGTACAATGCTAGACATTGGGGATTCTTAGACAAGGCTCTTGCCCTTACGAGCTCATAGATTAGCAGAGACCAAATCCTAAGCAGACATTCTGATGTAACATGAGCTAGAATAGAAGCATCTACAAAATACAAAAGAATAATCCTAACTATTCAGGAGACAGAAACCTAAGGATCTCCATTTGAAACCCCCTGGCATAGATAAATTCTGGAGATTCTTACCTCCAGTTAGCCTACAAAAAGCCATCCTAGAACAAGAGGCCCTGAATTCAGACCCCAGTGCCAGCAGAAGTACAGAAGAAGAAATAATTTATTTATTTATTTTTGGGTCCAGTCGTGGGGCCTGAACTCTGGGCCTGGGCACTGTCCCTCAGCTCTTCAGCTCAAGGCTAGTACTCTACCACTTGAGCCACAGAGCCACTTCCGGCTTTTTTTTCTTTTTTTTGCTTATGTGGTGCTGAGGAATCGAACCATGCCTGAGGGCCTCAGGCATGCAAGGCAAGCGCTTTACCACTGAGCCACCTTCCCAGCCCAAAAATAATTTATTTTGCCTGGAAAAATCAGAGACCATCTTAAAGGAGAGCTAGACTATATATTAAGTGGGGAAAGGTACCTAGTTTTTTAAGAAAAAACAACCTCAAAGGATTGGAAACAAAAGTCCTAAGTTGATTTCATGTTGAACAAAGCTAAAGCAAGAGGATTGCATTTTAAATACTGGAACAAAAATTTAATTTGTTGTCTTTCATTTGTTCTCTCTCCTATCTTTCTCTTGGAGGTCTTGGTAAGTATCATTTTAAGGTTAAATTTAATACTTTATGGGTTTCTAGTGGAAAATGCAGACTTATACTTAAAATGAGTTACTGATTATGTATCTCTGTGTGGGTGGATATGTGTTGCATGTTTTTACTATTTTACTACATGTTACTATTGTTGTTTTGATTCAGGGTCTCACTGTGTACCTCAGGCCAGCCTTGAAACTCTGGGTCTTCATGCCTTAGCCTCCCAAGTGGTGGGATTATAGCATGTACCACCACACCTGGCTTGCTTATTGGTTTTTGATAGTAGGAAGAGCAAAAAAGAGTCAGATACCAGTGGCTCATGCCTGTAATCCTAGCTACTGAGGAGGCTGAGATCTGAGGATTGTGGTACAAAACTAGCCCAGGTAGGAATGCCTGTGAGACCTGTGTATCTGTGTTGGTCTGAGGGCTTGAACTCAGGGCCTGGGCACTGTCCCTGAGATTTTTTTGCTCAAAACTATTGTTCCACCATTTTGAGGCACAACACTATTTGTGCTTTTTGGTAGTTTATTGAAGATAAGAGTCTCATGGGCTTTTCTGCATGGGTTGGCTTTGAACCGAAGTCCTCAAATCTCAGCTTTGCGAATAGCTGGGATTATTAGGCATGAGTCACTGATGCCCAACATCATCCAACATCATTGATACTCTTTTTTTTTTTTTGGTCGGTTATGAGGTCTGAACTCTGGGCCTGGGCACTGTCCCTCAGCTCTTCAGCTCAAGGTGAGCTCTCTACCACTTCAGCCATAGCACCACTTCCAGCTTTTTCTTTTTTTTTTTTTTGTCGGTCGTGGGGCTTGAACTCTGGGCCTGGGCGCTGTCCCTCAGCTCTTCAGCTCAAGGCCAGCCCTCTACCACTTGAGCTACAGCGCCACTTCTGGTTTTCTGGCGGTTTATTGGAGATAGGAGTCTCTCGGTCTCTCCTGCCCGGGCTGGCTTTGAACCGCGATCCTCATATCTCAGCCTCCTGAGTAGCTAGGATTACAGGCGTGAGCCACCAGTGCCCGGCTTGTCCATGAGACTTTTATCTCTCAATCACAAAAAGTCAGAAGTGGAGCTGAGACTTAAGTTACCACTTGAGGGCTGGGAAGGTGGCTCAGTGGTAGAGTGCTTGCCTTGCATGCCTGAGGCCCTGGGTTCGATTCCTCAGCACCACATAAGCAAAAAGAAAAAAGCCGGAAGTGGCGCTGTGGCTCAAGTGGTAGAGCGCTAGCCTTGAGCTGAAGAGCTGAGGGACAGCACCCAGGCCCAGAGTTCAGACCCCACGACCGGACCCCCCCCAAAAAAACAAAACAAACAAACCACTTGAACACTAACATTGAGTACTAACCTTGAGCAAAAGAGTTCAGAGGGGGCAGGGAAAGTGGCTCAGTGGTAGAGGGCTTGCCTTGCATGCATGAGGCCCTGGGTTTGATTCCCTAGCACCACATAAGCAAAAAGGAAAAAAAGCCAGAAGTGGCACTGTGGCTCAAGTGGTAGAGGGCTAGCCTTGAGCTGAAGAGCTGAGGGACAGCGCCCAGGCCCAGAGTTCAGGCCCAGGACTGGACCAAAAAAAAAAAAACAGGGCTTGGAAGGTGTCCCAGTGTTAGAGCGCTTGCCTTGCATGCCTGAGGCCCTGGGTTCGATTCCTCAGCACCACATAAACAAAAAGAAGAAAGCCGGAGAAATTTATCAGACATTTAACACACACATACACATACACATTAACTTCCTGCCCCTTTTACTTGGCTTTTAGATATTTTCCATTGTCCTGACACTTGCATTTTATTGTTTTGACTTTTAGCCAAAATTTCTCTAAGAGGCTTTGATCTTTGATTGTGAATTTAAAGCTTCCTTTGTACCTTTTGTTTTTTTTTTTCTTTTGGGGGGGAATGGGGGTTGGTAGTAGGGCTTGAACTCTGAGCCTGGGCGCTGTCCCTGAGCTCTTCAGCTCAATGCAGGCACTCTACCACTTGAGCCACTGGGCCACTTCCAGTTTTCTGGTGGTTAATTTGAGATAAGAGTCTCACAGACTTTCCTGCCCAGGCTGCCTTTAAACTGCAGTCCTCAGATCTCAGCCTCCTGAGTAGCTAGGATTACAGGTGTGAGCCACTGGTGCTCGGCTCAGACATAAATTTCTTAAAGAAAACTTTACACATGTGCCAGGCACTTGTTGGTTGTTCAGACCTGTAATCCTAGTTACTTAGGAGCACCACCCATGAGTGAAAAAGCTAAGCAAGAGTGTAAGGCCCTGAGTTCAAATCCCAATAGTAGCACAATTAAAAAAAAACATATAAATTGCTCTGGATGAGCAGTTGTTTTGGCTTACACCTCTAATCCCAACATTTGCTGAGGCAAAAGGATTGTGAGTTCAAGACTTGCCTATGTTACACAGTGGGACTCTTTCATAGTAATTAAATAAAGAAGGCCTCATGCTCTCACTTGGCTTCTTAACTTAGGGCTGGTGTTCTACCATGTGAGACATGCTCCCAGTTAAAGCTTTTTACTGATTAATTGGAGAAAAGTCTCAAGGATTCTTCTTCCCTGGCAGGTTCTGAACTTTGGTTCTCATATTTTAGCCTTTGAAGTAGCTAAGATAATAGGCACAAGTCATCAGTAAACGGCTTCTTTTTTCTTTTGATAGTACTGGGGGTTGAACCTAGCCTTTTTCATGCTAGGTAAGTATTTTCTACTACTGAACTACGTGCACAGCTTGACCCACATATTTTCTCATGTTAGAGTGAGCAGGAAAAACAGGAGCGTCTGGAAACCCAAAGAGAGAAGCAGAAGGAACTGATCTTGCAGCTCAAGACCCAGCTAGATGATCTGGAAACATTTGCCTATCAGGAGGGCAGTTATGACTCCTTGCCACAATCCATGGTCTTGGAAAGACAGCGGGTAAGTAGACCTCAGATGCAGCTTCATCACTTGGCCAGGTTAACTTGTCCCTGTGTTCTGGGACAGTCTGACCCAGATCAGTTCTCCCATGAACTTTGTTGGGAATTCCTTCTGGTCCATATCATAGGGAGCTTTCACTATTATCTGGGGGAAAAAATCTTTATTCAAACATAGAAAACACAGATTATCCAGAATCCAAATTGTTCCGAATAATGTCACTTGAAAGTTTTGATTACATTTGACTTGATAGAGCTTTAGAATACAGCAAGAAAAGATTAGAAATTCCAAAAAAAGCCATGTGTATTCACTTGGAAGCTTCTAGAGAAACTAAATATGAGGATTTTGGATCATCAGCCTCTTTGGATTATTTGTACAGTTCTGATGAGTAAAAGTTGACTGACCTAGCCGGGCGTTGGTGGCTCACGCCTGTAATCCTAGCTACTCAGGAGGCTGAGATCTGAGGATCACGGTTCAAAGCCAGCCCGGGCAGGAAAGACCATGAGACTCCTATCTCCAATAAACCACCAGAAAACCGGAAGTGGCACTGTAGCTCAAGTGGTAGAGCGCTCGCCTTGAGCTGAAGAGCTGAGGGACAGCGCCCAGGCCCAGAGTTCAAGCCCCACGACTGACAAAAAAAAAAAAAAAAAAGTTGACTGACCTTATAAAAGAATTTTTTTTTTTTTTTGGTTGGTCATGGGGCTTAAATTCTGGGCCTGGGCCCTGTCCCTGCACTCTTCAGCTCAAGGCAAGCGCTCTACCGCTTGAGCCATAGTGCCACTTCCAGTTTTCAGTGGTTTATTGGATATAAGAGTCTCACAGACTTTCCTGCCCAGGCTAGCTTTGAACTGCGATCCTCAGATCTCAGCCTCCTGAGTAGCTAGGATTATAGGCGTGAGCCACCCCTCTCAGTTTATAAAAGAATTTTTACAGTGAGTGAGAAGACCACTTTTACCACAGGAACCGAAGATTCTTGTTCCTTTTTTTTTTTTTGGGGGGGGGGGTCCAGTCGTGGGGCCTGAACTCTGGGCCTGGGCACTGTCCCTCTGCTCTTCAGCTCAAGGCTAGCACTCTACCACTTGAGCCACAGCACCACTTCTGGCTTTTTTCTTTTTGCTTATGTGGTGCTGAGGAATCGAACCCAGGGCCTCAGGCATGCAAGGCAAGCGCTCTACCACTAAGCCACCTTCCTAGCCCTCTTGTAACTTTAAGAGAAGAAGGGGTTTTGTTTCCTTTCTTTGATGTGCAGTTGTATATCATTTTCTCACAAATATAGAGGTCTGTGTGATTTTTTTTTTCCTTCCCCATTTAAGGACAAAAATCTTGTTTAAATTCTCCTAATCCTCTTCTTGAGAATTCCAAAGAATACATTTACTGCTATGGTCTTGATAGGTGATCATAGATGAATTAATAAAGAAATTGGACATGAATCTGAATGAAGATATCAGTTCCCTGTCCACTGAAGAGCTTTGTCAACGTGTGGATGCAGCAGTGGCTCAAATTGTCAACCCAGCCCGAGTGAAAGAACAATTGGTTGAGCAACTGAAAACTCAGATTCGAGATCTTGAGATGTTCATCAGTTTCATCCAAGGTCAGAGGAGGGGATGGGAACACAAGTGGATGGATAAATAATTCTCTTCTGAATACTGATACCTAAAGATGCCAGTTCTCTCTCTCTCTCTCTCTTTTTTTTTTTTTTTTTTGGTCAGTCGTGGGGCCTGAACTCTGGGCCTGGGCATTGTCCCTCAGCTCTTCAGTTCAAGACTAGCACTCTACCACTTGAGCCACAGCTCCACTTCTGGCTTTTTTTTTTTTTGCTTATGTGGTGCTGAGGAATCGAACCCAGGGCCTCAGGCATGCAAGGCAAGCACTATACCACTGAGCCACCTTCCCAGCACCCCTATAAGGTTTTTTTTGGGGGGGGTCCGGTCGTGGGGCCTGAACTCTGGGCCTGGGCGCTGTCACTCAACTCTTCAGCTCAAGGCTAGCGCTCCACCACTTGAGCCATAGCGCCACTTCCGGCTTTTTTCTTTTTGCTTATGTGGTGCTGAGGAATCAAACCCAGGGCCTCAGGCATGCAAGGCAAGCACTCTACCACTGAGCTACCTTCCCAACCCCTATAAGTTTTTTTTAAGTATTCCTTTGTACTTGTGATTGTAGATGAAGTAGGAAGTCCCTTGCAGACAGGAGGTGGACAATGTGAGTGCAAAACTGATGGAAAGACAGGAAATGGCTCTACCAGCACAGGCAGTAATCGGATGCCTCCAGGAAACAGCAAAAGTAAGTAAAGCTTCCAGAATTGGCAAGTCTATACAGAAAGTAGATTAGTGTAGCCAGGTGTGGTGGCACATAACTGTAATCTCAGCACTTGGGAAGCTAAGGCACTTGAGAGTTCTGAGGTTGTTCTGGACTATATAGTTAGACCTTATATCAAAAGGAAAAAAAAAGTGGGGCACCAGTGGCTTATTCCTGTAATCCTAGCTACTTAGGAAGGTGAGATCCAGAGGATCATAGTTCAAAGCCAGCCTGTGACTTTTTCAGTGTACCTCTTTGTTATTATGGCCTCTTGCTGATAAATCATTGTCTTCTAAACAGTGAAGGCAGAAGATGTGAAGAGAGTCCGGGAGAGAGGGCTCCACCTGATGCGGCGAGCACTGGCTGTGCTCCAGATCTTTGCTGTTAGCCAGTTTGGTTGTACCACAGGCCAGATCCCTCAAACCCTGTGGCAAAGGGGCCAAGCAGACAGAGACTATGCTCCCTTACTGAAGAGGCTAGAGGTATCTGTAGACAGAGTGAAGCAGCTAGCCCTGAGACACCAGCCACACCACTGTGTCATCACTTCTGCCAACCTTCAAGATCTCTCTCTGGGAGGCAAGGACGAGCTGACCATGGTGGTACGGAAAGAGCTGACCATGGCTGTGAGAGACCTGCTGGCCCATGGACTGTATGCCTCCTCTCCTGGGATGAGCCTTGTCATGGCTCCCATTGCCTGCTTATTGCCATCCTTCTCCTCTGCCCCTGAGACCATGCACCCCTGGGAGCTCTTTGTAAAGTACTACCATGCTAAGAATGGTCGAGCTTATGTGGAATCCCCATCACAGAAGTTGTCCCAGTCCTTCGCCCTGCCTGTTACGGGTGGCACTGTTGTAACCCCCAAACAGAGCCTACTGACAGCCATCCACATGGTTCTGACAGAGCATGACCCTTTCAAGCGCAGTGCAGACTCTGAGCTGAAGGCCTTGGTGTGCATGGCACTGAATGAGCAACGTCTTGTGTCCTGGGTAAACCTTATCTGCAAGTCTGGGTCACTCATCGAGCCCCACTACCAGCCCTGGAGCTACATGGCCCACACAGGCTTTGAGAGTGCTCTCAACCTGCTCAGTCGCCTCAGCAGCCTCAAGTTCAGCCTCCCTGTAGACTTGGCTGTGCGCCAGCTTAAGAACATCAAAGATGCCTTTTGATGAGAATGTTCTGGCCTTCAACACCTTGCTTTGTAGGAAGAGGTGTGCTAGTGTTCTACAGTAAGCCAGAGGGTCAGGGAAAGGGTTGAGAACATTTTTTGTCGATCTTGCTTAGATGGTCAGACAAATGGGTACATACTTTTCCTCCTCTCAACTTAGCATTTTGGAAAGGTGTGTTAGAGACCCTTTTATTAAAAAACTATTTCTGAACTGGGCACTGGTGGTTCACACCTGTAATCCTAGATAGCCAGGAGGCTGAGATCAGAGGATTTAAGTTCTAAGCCAACCTGGGCAGGGAGAGTCCATGAGACTCTATCTCTAATTAACCACAAAAACCCGGAAGTGGAGCTATGGCTCAGTGGTAGAATGCTAGCCTTGAGCATTGTCAGTGATAAAGCCAAGGCCCAGAGTTCAAGCCCCAGGACTAGCAAAAAAGAAATTTTTTTAAAAGAACTCTTTCTGGAGATATCTAGGTATAGTTGCATACTCTTCTATTTCCAGAACTTAGAAGTCAGAGGAAGGAGGATCTTAGTTCAAGACTGACTTGAATTACATAGTGAGTTCAAGGCCAGCCTGAGCTACACAGTGAAATTCTGTCTCAAAAATACAAATAAACAAATAAAGTTAAAATCCCTTGGATTAGAAGTATAGCTCAGTCCACAGTTAACTAAGCCCTGGATTCAACAAATAAAGTTCCGTTTTTTCTTTTCTTTTTTTTTTGGGGGGGAGGTCTGGTCATGGGCCTGAACTCTGGGCCTGGGCGCTGTCCCTCAGCTCTTCAGCTCAAGGCTAGCACTCTACCACACTCTACCACTTGAGCCACAGCGCCACTTCCGGCTTTTTTCTTTTTTGCTTTATGTGGTACTGAGGAATCGAACCCAGGGCCTCATGTATGCAAGGCAAGCGCTCTACCACTGAGCCACCTTTCCAGCCCGTTTTTTCTCTTTTTTTCCTTTTTGGTCAGTCGTGGGGCTTGAACTCTGGGCCTGAGTGCTGTTCCTCTCAGCTCTTCAGCTCAAAGCTATCACTCTACCACTTTAGCCACAACGCCACTTCCTAAAGTTCTGTTCTAGCTTTTAGCCCCAGCATGCATATGTGCACATGTATTTGGATCTCTATTAAAGGAAGTGGCATAGCACATAGCTAATGCTCTAGCTTATGCTACATCAATGTTTTTTATTTATTTATTTATTTTGCTGGTTGTGGGCCTGAACTCTGGGCCTAGGGGCTGTGCCTCATCTCTTCAGTTCAAGGCTAACACTCTACCAACTTGAGCCACAGCGCCATTTCCAGCTTTTTTCTGCTTATGTGGTGCTGAGGAATCAAACCCAGGGCTTCATGCATGCAAAGGCAAGTACTCTACCACTGAGCCACCTTCCCAGCCCTCCATCAATTTTTTTTAAAGATTTGGGTTGCTCTATTTATGTCTAGATCGAGTTGTTTTGAAGCAGGTTTTGTTTTGGTGTGTGTGTGTGTGTGTATGTGTGTTGGATACGGGTATGAACTTTACCCATGGGTGTGTGTGTATGTGTGTTGGGTACGGGTATGAGGTTTACCCGTGCGTGCGTGTGCGTGTGTGCGTGTGTGTGCGCGCGCGCGCGCGCGCGCGCTGGAACTTGAACTCAGGGCCTGGGTGCTGTCCATTAGCTTTTTCACCTAATGCTGGCACTCTACGACTTCTGGCTTTTTACCTATTAATTGAAAGTAAGTCTCACAGACTTTTCCTGCCCAAGCAGGCTTTGAACTATGCTCCTAAGATCTTAGCCTCCTAAGTAGCTAGGATTGCAGGCATGAGCCACTGGCACCTGGCTTAGAGCAGTTTTAAGAGTCATGGAGCAGGGGCTGAGAAGGTGGCTCAGTGGTAGAGCGCTTGCCTTGCATGCCTGAGGCTCTGGGTTCGATTCCTCAGCACCACATAAGCAAAAAGAAAAAAGCCGGAAGTGGCGCTGTGGCTCAAGTGGTAGAGCACTAGTCTTGAGCTGAAGAGCTGAGGGACAGTGCCCAAGCCCAGAGTTCAGGCCCCATGACCGGACCCCCCTAAAAAAAAAAAAAAAAAGAGTCATGGAGCAGGACTTTAAATTCCTTTTATAGGATTGGGGTGTGGTAGAGTTCTTACAAAGCAAGCATGATATCCTATGTTTAATCCCACTACCATAAGAAAAGAAAGAAATATTGCCCTGGCGCTAGTAGCCAGTGCCTTTAATCCTGGCTACTCAGAAGGCTGAGATCTGAGGATCACAGTTCAAAGCCAACCTAGGCAGGAGACTCTTATCTTCAGTTAATCACCAGAAAACTGGAAGTGGCGCTGTGGCTCAAGTGGTAGAGCACTCACTGTGAGCTGAAGAACTCAGGGACAGCACCCAGGCCCAGAGTTCAAGCCCCATAACTAACAGAAAAAGAAAAAAATATCATGGGCTGGGGGATATGGATCAAGTGGTAGAGCACTTTATAGCACAAGACCCTGTGTTCAAACCCCAGCACTGAAGATAAAAAAAATAAATATCTGTTAGGAATACTGATTCCACTTTCTTTCTAAGAACAGTATTTCTAAGGGGATGAGCCACAAGTTGAATTGGATATAAGCCTCCTGGAGAGGTAAGAACTGAATATTCCTGATAAGGTAACCCTCACAGTGCAGACAATGGACTTTCTGTCAGGGATGAAATCTAGTACTGTTTCTTCTAGCAAGTAAATTTTGTACTCTGCCTCAACAAAACTGCTACTCATACTCAGCCGCCCATGACTTACACCTGTAATCCTAGCTACTCAGGAGACTGAGATCTGAGGATCACAGTTCAAAGCCAGCCCGGGAAATAAAGTCCATGAGACTCTTATTTCTAATAAGCTACCAAAAAAAGCTGAATCAAATGGTAGAGCACTAGCTCTGAGCAGAAAGCTCAAGGATAGTGCTCAGGTTGAGCTCAAGCCCAGGACTGGTACAAAAAAAAAAAAATTCAAGATTTACTTCCCAAGAGAATCCTTCCCATTCTAGGACATTCTTGTAACCATCGGCAATGCTCCCCAGGTTTACGGGGCCAGTTGTCCTAGAGGCTGGGTGGTGGAGAAAGTCTGATCTTGGAGTTGGGTCCTGCAGCAGAGATAGGAACAAGAGTAGATCACTAATTCAGACCTGGTCTCAAATGTTTCACTGTGTAAAACTGTCTACAGAGCTATCTTTATTGTCTGCAGTATTTTAACCTTTTTCATTTTATTTATTTATTTATTTAGTCTGTCGTAGGGCTTGAACTCTGGGCCTGGGTGCTGTCCCTGAGCTCTTCAGCACAAGGCCAGCACTCTACCACTTGAACCACCATGCCACTTCTAGTTTTCTGGTGGTTAATTGGAGATAAGAGTCTCAGGGATTTTTGTGCCGAGGTTGGCTTTGAACCATGATCCTCAAATCTCAGTCTCTTGAGTAGTTAGGATTACAGGGGTGAGGCACTGGTGCCGGGCTAGCCTTTTTAATTGACAGTTGTCATTCCAGGTCATGGTGGGTACTGCTCAAGACTGACAAAAGTTTGATCACTCCCAACACTGAATTCAGCATTATTTTCATGTGTTAAACTGTAACTTGCACTTTGTTTCTCCACTGTTATATTGTTTATGTTAACTTAATTTTTTTTCAGCAGTGTGTTGCATATTTAAGCCACATTATTGAGATTTAATTAGTCCAATTTCCCTGTGAATCAAGAGGTTGGGACTATAACTCACAGAGTACTTGGCTAGCATGCTTGAAGCCCTGAGTTCAATCCCCAGCACAAGGGGGGGAAAAATGTAAAATGTTGTGAAAATTGATATTCTTGTGATTCTTAATAAAATCTTAGTATTTTGTGTAACTTCTTTGTAAAGACCATAGAGCTCCTCAGCTGTGGTTTATATCTCTCTGGTCTTATGAACCTATCTGATCCAAAATCAGGAAGTAGAGCTGTGGCTCTAGTCCTGGAGCCGAAGTATTGAGCAAAGCTCAGGGACAGTGGCCAAGACTGGCAACAAAAAAAAAAAACTACAACCTGTCTGCTTCTTTCCTGTCTTGGATCAACTCAGATTTGGTGTGATAGGGTTTTAGGTGTGTTGTTTTTTTCTGCCTGATCATAAAAGTGCTCTAGATATCTTCATCCCTCTTTCCCAGACCTGTAATCTTAACCAACAATATGGGGATGAAATGGAAAGCATTGTATCATGCTGTAGATTCTAGGTCTTTTCTTGGTCTCTTCACTTTGGGGAGAAAAAAGTTATTTCCAGAAATTGTAGCTGTCAAGAAAACAGGCTAAGGCTCAGTGGTAGAGCGCTAGCCTTGAGCACAAAGAGGCTCAGGGACAGTGCCCAGGCCCTGACTTCAAGCCTTACAACCGACAAAAATAAATAAAGGGGCTGGGAAGGTGGCTCAGTGGTACAGCGCTTTCCTTGCATACCTGAGGCCCTGGGTTTGATTCCTCAGCACCACATAAAGAAAAAAGCCGGAAGTGATGCTGTGGCTCAAGTGGTAGAGTGCTAGCCTTGAGCTGAAGAGCTGAGGGACAGCGCCCAGGCCCAGAGTTCAGGCCCCACAACCAGACCCCCAAAAAAATAAAAATAATAAAAATTTTAGTTGGGTGCTGGTGCGCCTGTAATTCTCACTACTCAGGAGGCTGAGATCTGAGGATTGCAGTTCAAACCAGTCCAGGCAGGAAAGTCCATGAAACTCTTATCTCCAATAAACCACAAGAAAAACTGGAAGTGGCACTGTGGCTCAAGTGGTAAAGTACTAGCTAAAGAGCTAAGGGACAGTGCCCAGGTCCAGAGTTCAAGCCCCATAACTGACCAAAAAAAAAAGGCTTCTCTGGTCTTCTAATATTTATTGAAATGAATCTTCCCCCCCACCCCCCAAAACACACACACTAAACTAGGCTGCAGGGAGTCAAGCAGACAGGCATTGCTATACTAAGTGCTTCCTGAAACCTAAAGATGAGTATTCTGACTGCACTGGGCATGGTCAGGGTGTTATGGCCGTAGATTAAAGATGTGATTTCAGAGACAGTCCCATAGACATCCCGGGAATAGTTGGTATAAGTCTCACTT